AGGGGGGGGGTGCGGGCAAGACGAAGTTGTTCCAGGTATTGAGTTCAAAGTCGATGACCCAGTAGAGCGTGATGGGGGTTTGTGCCTTGTCTGGCTTGCCGTCTGGATTCAGCCGGCAGGCACGCTGGGTGAGACAGGAGAGCGTTGAGGAGACGGGCGTGCTTGGACGCTCTCTCGAATCGTTCTTGGGGGTTTGGACCTTTTGGAGCCATGCTGGGCGGGATGTTGACGAGTCAATGCTGAAAGGACCTTTCTTTGGTAGATGTTGGATGGGCTCTTCTAAGGTACACACGAGTACGAGTCAAAACTGTCAATAAGGAGGCACCGCTTTACGCGGTCGGAGAACGCGTTGTGACATTGCACATGACGCGTCTTGTGTTTCACCGTTGGAATATGACCCTCGTCCGAGCATCTATTCCATGAACGTGCATTTTAATCACCTCCTCCATGTTTTCAGCTTCGCTGATTTATCTCGCTGTGTATCCGCCATCAACAACAAAGTCCGCGCCAGTGGTGTAAGTGCTTGCATCCGAAGCGAGGTAGAGATACACCCCCTTGAGCTCTCTAGGGTCGGCATCTCGTTTCATTGGCGTCAATTCATACCAGTGTTCCTTCATCTCGAATGGACAGTCTCCACTAATGGCAGTGTCTATGTATCCAGGACTGACAGCATTGACTCTAGCGAATCCGGCCCATTCCACAGCCAGACTCTTCGCGAGATGTATCACACCTGCCTTTGCCGAATTATAGCATGCCTTTTGATACGAGTTTAGTTGTGCGACACTTGTGGCGAGCAGCATCATCACTCACCTGTTGTTGAGGCACGTTTGCTGCGTGACCAGACATGCTGGCTGTGAATATCATATTTCCGGATCCTTGTTTCCGAAAGATCTCACCGGCCACACGAGCGCAGTAGTATGCTCCATTATAGTCGACATTGACCACCCGATGCCAATCCTCCAGTTTGTCGTCGAGCCCTCCGGCCTTTGAAGGAATACCGGCATTGGCAATCATAACGTCGAGTCGACCAAAGTCTCGGACGACCGCTTGTACGGTGCTTTCGACCTGTAAAAGAAGATCTTAGCACTTGGATTGCTTGGAGGCAATTCGATCAGTTTTACCTGGCCATATTCGGCAACGTCGCACTGGTAGGCCTTGCACTTGATGTTGAAATCTTTTTCGATGGTCGCCGCCAGCTTCGAAGCGTTCGGTGACTTGTGATACCACAATGCAATGTTTGATCCGGCTTCAGCGAGTCCTCGGCAGATTTCATAGCCAATGCCACCGCTACCACCAGTACAGATGGTCACCTTCCCAGTCATGTCGAACATCTTGAAGACTGAGTCCTGTACCGGTGGGTTTGGCCATCGCTTGCTGACAGGAGTACCTAGAGAACCCATATTGGCGAGATTTGTGCGTTGGTTCCTACTGCGTGTTGTGTCTGGAGGCGTCTGGAGGCTGTTTCTAGACGTTATGCGAGGCAAACATGGGCTCTGGTCTTACGAAGCACCGCTCAATGCTGGTACAATTTAATACTATATATCTGACTATCATGACCCAGGCTATCAATTCGGAATATCTACCGCATCATATGTGGTCAGAATGATCTTTGGTTGTGATACTCTTGAACCCCGTCAAGTGTATTCTGGAGCGCTGTGTCACTCGGAGGACAATTTACTCGGAGTATTGTGCTCCGCCATGTTGAACATGTTATCCGAATACAGGGTACCAGTGGAGTATCCACTCCGTTACCGTGATCGGGTGACGTTCTCAAATCAACCTTCCAACCCCACGGAGCACTGTTCTCCTTGACTAAATCTTTGGGTCACCACGTCTTTTCCCAGAACTGCCACTCCGCGTTAGTCCACGTTCGCCCCATGGTAGGAGAGACTGGCTCCTCCTTATTGCGGAGTTATGGCGAGGAACGGGACATGGGTGTGGTAATTCGAATCAAACTATTAATACTCGCAGTTCGCCATTTGTGATCGGCATATCTGACTTGCACAAAAAGCTTGACGAAAGCGACCCTTTGTATCAGCATTCCAACAACTCCCGAAATGAAAGACCAAGATATTGTCGGCGAGGCTCTTGCCAAGGTACTTCCTCAATATGGGAAGCCATGGTACCGTGTTCCGCATCTGCTGAAGTTGAATCTTATCCTTCTGGTGCCTCTATTATCTTCGGCGGTCGCGGGTTACGATGGTATGAAGATGCTCGCAGGGCGGCTCCGTCGTGACAGAGACTAATCTGTATTCTAGGATCGATGATGAACGGTCTTCAGTCGACCGATTCCTGGAAGAAATTCTTCAACAATCCAACTGGAACTAGACTCGGGGTAGTTAATGCAGCCCAGTCGATCGGATCCGTTGCTGTGCTCCCCGTTGTTGGTATGGTCAATGACAAGATTGGTCGGAAATGGACACTCTTCATTGGTATCGTCACGATCATCATCGCCAGCATCATACAAGCTGCATCCATCAACTATGGCATGCTGGTGGCCTCAAGAATCATTGTTGGAGCTGGGGGTATGCTCGTCTCTCAGCCTTCACCTATGCTCATTGGAGAGTTGAGTTTTCCTACACATCGAGGAAAATTCACCTCGCTCTTCTGGACATGCTACTATTTCGGGGCAATTTTGGCTTCATGGTCGACGTGAGTGCTCGCTTTCTAGTCCCTGGGAACATTGTCCTGACAATCACAGATATGGCACCCAAAAGCATATTGGATCTTCCGATTGGGCCTGGCGAGCACCATCTATTCTTCAAGCTGCTTATCCATTCATTCAGCTCTGTTTCTTCTGGTTCGTTCCAGAAAGTCCCAGGTGGCTGGTAAGCTCTCATCAGAGTCAGACTTTACTCTGATGTTAACTTCATTGCAGATTGCGAACGGAAAAATTGCTGAGGCCAGGGAGATTCTCGCTCGCTATCACACTGGCGGCGATTCTAACCACATGCTTGTTGAGTTTGAGATGGCTGAAATCTCCTCTGCAATCGAAGCTGAGAGACAAGCTGCTGCAACGAAATGGAGTTCTCTTGTATCAACTCCTGGCAATCGCAAGCGAACATGTAAGCTTCCAAGCTTCTCCTAGTCTGGCTGTGGTACTGACTTTTGTAGTTATTGTGGTTTGCCTAGGCGCATTTGCGCAGTGGAATGGTGTGGCTGTTGTTTCCTACTACCTGACCCTGGTTCTAGACACAGTGGGTATCAAGGATGCTGATACGCAGACACTTATCAATGGGTCAGCCTTATGAACATTCCTCCTTGAACTGACGAAGCTAACCTCACCTCCAGTTTGCTCCAAATCTTCAACTTTTGGGCAGCTGTCAGTGCGGCTTTCCTCGTGGATCGCCTTGGCCGAAGGACGCTGTTCACCTGGTCTGGCATTGGCATGTTGATATCCTTCGTCATATGGACCGCCTGTTCCGCCGTCTTTGACATGAGCGCAAACAAAGGAGCAGGTGTGGCGGTGGTCGTCTTCATTTTTATCTATGTGAGTCCAATATGATCCGGTATTCAGTGCTGGCCGGCGGACACCACTAACAGCTCCTTAGTTCTTCCACTACGACATCGCATACACTCCTCTTCTCTTCGGTTACAGTACCGAAATTCTTCCATATTCGCTTCGCGCAAAGGGGTTGACTGCAGAAATGCTGTCCATCTACGGCTCACTGGTCATTCTGGCTTTTGTGAATCCAATCGCGCTTGACAACATAGGCTGGCACTACTACATCGTATTTTGTTGCATTCTGGTTGCAATTAATGTCATCACCTGGTTCTTTTTCCCAGAGACAAAGGGACACAGTCTGGAGGAGATTGCTGAAATCTTTGATGGGCCCCAATCACGTCCTATGATGGATAGTATTATGCTTGGAAAGGACGACGAAAACCAAACCGTTCAGCATGTTCAGAAAGTCTGAGGGCACATCGACGCAAATATTTACGGTAGTATTCATTCCTATACTTTTGGCTACCTCAGCATGTGCTGGCTTCGTTCGGAGTAGAAGTTAGAAATTATTCTCCATCCGAGACCGAAGTTCGGATTAAATCTACATTTAATGATATATTTGGCCTGCTGTATACCTTAGGGCGGATCATTTGAGTCAACACTGCCATTTTCCCGTCATATCACAGAACTCAGCATTTCATGTTCCAAAATACCTCGCTGAGCCCTCGAGGAGTCACACACTCAGATCGCTGATCATATTTCAAATGGATGAGGAAGTACTCGATACACCTGTCGAGAAGACTCTTTCATCATGCTCAGACTGTCGACGACGAAAACTTCGTTGTGATCGTGGCCAACCATGCGATAATTGCACAAGACACGGGCGAAACTGTTCTTATGAAAAGATTTCGAGAACTCCTTTGACTCGGAAGCATCTGAGTCATGTGGAACAAGAACTTGCCAAAGCGAAAGCACTTCTCCGGCAATATCAAGGCGGCCATTCACTTTCGGCGCCGTCCCCTTCGAGTCAACGTTTGGGCAATCAGAGACTGGAACATGCTTCTGATTCAACCTTAGGGAACGCTCCTAACAGTCCCCGGTTGAGTTCCCAAGATGAATCGTCGGACATAGCTCTTATGGTAGGACATGAGACGTCCGTCGTCTCTACGACAGGACCGAACGGCATTGACGGCCGCCAACAACCTACTCAAAGCACTGCAAATGGCAGTCGCACGATTAGTCCGACTTTCTCTCTAGAAACATCGCCCGCTCATCCAGATTTTGACTGGGATGAACGCATTCAGAAAACTAATCATGCTCATTTCATTGACGGTATGGCTAGTTTGCCTGAACGAACAGCGCGAGGGTATATGGGAATTGCTTCTGGTGCGGCACTTCTCAGGCTTGCTGACGATACAGCCGATGCCTCTCTCGAAATCGACAACAACCAGAATGAGGAGAACATGCAGGATACTCCTCCAATACCCAATGCTATCTTTTCACTGTCACAGCTTGAACCTTTTGTCGAGGCATACTTCGCCACGTATCACATTTCTTATCCCATCATACATGAAGCCACCTTCAGAGCACAATTCATGGAGGTTATACCCCGGCCAAAGGGCAATGCGTGGAAAGTCCTTTTGCACATTGTTGCCGCAATGGGTGCCTTTGCCTCTTCAGTCACGGCGCCAGAGGTTGATTTGGCACTATTCGAAGCTACCAAAGCACACATGTCAATAGACATGTTGGAGACAGGCAACATAATCCTGGTGCAAGCACTCACCTTGATTTCGAATTATGTTCAGAAACGAAACAAACCAAATTCCGGCTACAACTATTTGGGACTTGCAAAACGAATGGCCATGGGAATAGGATTGCACAAGGAATTTCCAGCGTGGCATTCCAATCCCTTCAAACTCGAGACGAGACGGCGTGTTTACTGGTGTCTATATATTTTCGACGTCGGAGCCACGATTACCTTTTCGCGGCCACTGGATCTACCAACGGATGGTATCGAGATCCAACTTCCACTGAATGTTGCCGATAGCGATATCACAGTCAATACGAAGAGATATCCTGCGGAGGTCCAGGAAACCACGCTGTATACACCTGTGCGATGTCAAGCCAAATTCCACCTGGCAACGACGCAAATCTATGCGAAGTTGATTTCGGCACCCTTTCCATCCGCAGAGCAAATGCTCCAAGCCGATGATGCTAACTTGGTGAAGTGGTTACGAGAGATCCCTCCTTACTACCAGGAAGGCGCCGACCTACCTTCCAAATTCCGCCTGTCTCAATCGATACTTCAATGGCGCTGGCGCAATTTCAGAATTCTCATGTATCGACCCTTTTTGATGCGCAAGTTTCTCACGAAGAAGCGAACCGTTATAACTACATCCCCTCACGACGAGAATGCGATTCAACGATGTCTAGACGCTGCGGCAGAATCAATCCAATCAATCACCAGCTACTGGCAACAGAGTAATCCTCAAAATGTTTTGGCATGTTGGTATTCATTGTATTTCTTGTTCCAGGCAACGCTCATTCCCGTCATCTGCCTGAGGAATGAACCACACTCATCTCTGGCCGGTGCCTGGCGGAATCAAGTATTCAGCGCTCTCGAAGCCATTTCAGACATGTCTCGCCTCAATTCTGCCGCCACCCGATGCTATAATATCATCACCAAAATATGTGGAGCGTATCTGGGCCAAGACAGTACTGGGCAGTGGGAAGGCCTCTCTGCGACATCCGAAAGTCCCTTGACACAGCTCAATGCTCTCAACACCTTCATGTGGCCAATGACGGAACCTCAGTACTTTTCCAATGGTTACGACCTCGCTTTTCTGGAATCTGTGCCGGTTGACTTTGTGAACCAGCAGTTTCAGATGTGATCATGGACTAGCTTCCTTCATGGTAAGGAGTAAGCGCCATCGATCACCAGATTCGCTCCGGTCATATACGACGACGCGTCACTGGCCAGGAAGACATAAGCCTAGATATCATTAGCTGGCTTTCTTCACGGTGATTTGGTACAAGCATACCCCTTTCAGCTCATAAGGGTCACACAATCTTTGAGCTGGGATCATGCCAAACCACTTATCGCGCCACTCCTGAGGGTGAACTGATAGCATATCAGTTGCGATGAAGCCCGGAGATACACAATTGACTCGGCAAAAGTCAACCCATTCAACAGATAGACATTTGGCCAGCATCACCAAACCAGATTTTGAGCTATTGTAAACAGACTGGCGTTGCGGGGTATTCACCAGGATCGCACTGACGCTGGCGGTGAAAATGATGTTGCCAAAGCCTTGTCGTTTGAAGATACGACCCGCGGCTTGGGCTGTCCAGAAAGCACCGTCCAGGTTGACTTTCATGATCTCTCTCCATTGGTCGACCGTTATGTCCTCAGCTGCATAGTGCGAGGCAATGCCCGCGTTTGCGACGACAATATCCAGCTTCCCAAAGTCCTTGGCAATTTGATTCAACACTGCTTCAATCGCCTCTTGGTCCTTGACTTCAGCTTGGTATGCACGGCACTTGACGCCATTTGCGCTTGCTATCTCCGCCGCAACTGCTTCTGCATCCTTGGAGGAGTTGTAAATCACGGCAACATCTGCACCGGCTTCGGCAAGGCCTCTCGAGACTTCCAGGCCGATTCCTCGAGAACCACCTGTTATAGCTGCCACTTTGCCTTTCAAGCTGAATGCTTGAAGCACGTTTTGGTTATCTGGCTTTGCGAGAACCATGTTGTCAAAGAATTTAGTGACAAGGTCTAATGGAGTTGTCAAAGAAAAGCACTTTTACTGTTTGATTATTGACATGAGATCAAATAGTCCGGGTTTATTACTGTGTCTGCAAAGTTTATGGAGTACACAGCAACTGCTAGAGCCACCTGCAACTCGTCCGCAAAGATACTACACTTTTACTGTGCCGGCCATGCATTCCCGTTTTGTTCGGAGAATGACCGCGAGACGTCTGTGACGGTACGGAGTACTCGTAGCGAAGCCTCCTATGCAGTCATCTTTGCCGCTGGGGGGCCCGAATTGCGGAGACTCGGTACTGTGCCGGCAGAAATCATTTCGGAGGACTGTCGTCCGGATCCCTTTTTTCACTCATCTCACGGTCACACTCTCAATCATGAGATCGTATTTGACAATCTTGTTCCGGATCAGGTCTCCATTGATGGCGTCGTTTGTATCAAACCTCATTTGGCCCTTTTCCAGCGTCGGTTCGATTCCGGCAGCCACGTGGCGCCTTGCAACTCTTTCCCGAGCCAAACATGGTTCGACGTCGACAAAGATCTTGAGATCGAGGTACACATGGATGTCTCTCCACTTATCTTCGTCGAGAAGGAGGTAGTTTCCGTCGAGGACGATGATTGATGTCTCGGGGGATATCCCGATGTCGTCGTTCCTTGGGTCCTTCTCGGCGTGGTCGAACGACGGCGCGAGTATCGTCGGTCTGTCTGAAGGTGGTAGCCGGGCGGAATCGGCGAGACGCTTGATGAATGCGACCATGGCATCGACGTCAAAGGTCCAAGGCGCTCCACGTCGGATGTATGCTTCTTTTCGGTTCGGGAGGCTGTCAAGGTATTGTCGAGTGTAGTGAAACCCGTCCAGTGGTATTGTTTGCGCTCGACATTGAGCAGCAGCAGCAGCATCTGGTGGTGGCTCTTTTCTGTTGTTGTTGTTGATGAGGCTCACAACGGTCGCGGCGATTGTGCTCTTTCCACAACCCGGAGGACCTGCTATACCGACGATGAGTCGACCAGGTGCCTTTGCACGAGCCGCGGCGTGAATGTCGGCTGCCAATTTTGAATAAGTCTCATCCATTGTGCTAGTTAGGTAGAGAATATGCGCGCAATAAGATGGTGCTCAACCAGACATGACGTTTTCTCGTTGTCGCTGGCCCCAAGGATCCTGCATTCTATACCTAGTAGCCATAGCATTCGGAGCCTTGAAGCCTCGTCTGATATCTTTACTCGTACAGCATCGAACAGGGTACTCCATATGGTGTATTCTCCACAGTTCCAATTGTTTGAGCTTTGCATTGGGGAGGAAGGGGGGTTGTGGATCTCTACAACGTACGGACCACTGTCTTCCGACTCGGGAGTCATCGTTCCAGACAGACAATTGATCCGGTCCTCAGAATCGACCTGTATGATATGTCTCCTCGGAAAAGAATCACTTGCTCCGTAACGTTTCATGTCCATCGAGCAGCGCATTTGATGACATTCTGGAGTATCCACTGCTTGATCAATAACCATACCATCTTCAAGTCCAAACCAAACAATAATTAACCATACCTCGTCGTCTCTTTGCTTGATAACGTTCTGCAAGTCATACCGGACTCCTCTTGAGTTCAGGGTATATGTTTCATCCATTTTCTTCTGTCGAGGCGAATACCTCTTGAATTTTGTGCAAACCGCATTCATCCGCTTGCCACCTCATCTGTGACCGAGGACAAGGACAAAATCAAAGATATCTACCATCACTCATTCTCGCGGTCAAAGAATACGCCGAAGCATATCTCTTCTTCTTTATTTGGTCCCAAAATGGGCGACGCCGGAAATGTCGAAAAGGGAACCAACCCATCGTTCGTCCTCAAGGCCGTCAAGGACGTCAGCTTCGACGACATCCCCAGGCCGACGATGACGGACCCTTACGATGTCCTCATCCACGTCGGGCAGACGGGCATCTGCGGCAGCGACGTGCACTACTGGCAACGCGGCCGCATCGGGGATTTTGTCTTGACGTCGCCCATCGTCTTGGGTCACGAATCCTCGGGCACGGTCGTCGAGGTCGGTTCGGCGGTGAAGAATTTACGGGTCGGGGACAGAGTCGCCATCGAACCGGGGGTGCCCTGTCGACACTGCGATTACTGTCGGTCGGGATCCTACAATCTGTGTCCGGACACCGTGTTCGCGGCGACCCCTCCACACAACGGGACCCTCTCAAAATACTACAAGACGGCCGCGGATTTTTGCTACCCCCTGCCGGACCACATGAGCCTCGAGGACGGGGCCTTGTGCGAACCGGTCGCCGTGGCCGTACAGATTTGCAAAGTCGGCAACGTTCGCGCGGGTCAGACGGTCGTGGTGTTTGGTTGCGGCCCCATAGGACTGTTGGTGCAGTGCGTCGCCAAGGCCTACGCGGCGAAAACGGTCATTGGAGTCGACGTGAGTCGAAGTAGGATGGAGTTGGCGAAATCCGTGTTGAAATGTGCAGACGGGGTGTTTGAATCAAAGCCGATGCCTAGGACGGAACTTGGGGAAGGAGACGCCACCGAAAAGGAAAGCGAGTGGAACGCAAGGGCCGCCGAGGAGATCAAACGGACGTTCGACTTGGGAGAGGGTCCCGACGTGGTCGTCGACGCGACCGGCGCCCAAGCCTGTATCCAGACGGGGGTGAACCTCTGTAAAAAGGGTGGGACGTACGTCCAGGCGGGCATGGGGAAAGAAAATGTCGTCTTTCCCATCACCACGGCGTGCGTGAGGGACTTGACCATCCGAGGATCGATCAGGTACACGGCGGGAGTTTACCCTGCGGCCGTCGACCTGGTGGCTTCGGGTAAGGTCGACCCGAAAGTGTTGATCACTCACCGGTTTCCTTTTGAAAAGGCGGAGGAGGCGTTTGAGATTGTGAAGAAGGGAGGTGAGAACGTTCTCAAGGTCGTCATCGAGGGTGTGAAATGAAGTGAGTCCCCGACTCTCGCCGAAGGGGTAAGGAGGTGTATATCATCATATATATTCAGTTTTGGGTAATAAAAGAAAAGAGCTTTAGTGGTTCCGAGGTGGCACTAAACTTTGTCAATGGGTAATTCGATGAAGACTTTCCAAAGTCTCACCGTGTTCCTCCTTTGTCATACTCTACCAAGGCTGCGAGGCCCCTTTTGTTGGTGGCTCCACTTTGTATGCATCCCGACAAGTCAAGTCTCTACGTCGGTGGAGGGTCAGTATGGAAAATGGAAAGTATCTTGAAACCGCACACTGCGAGATGTTGGAAAAATTACAATAGAAAAAAGATTTGTGGTTGGGAAGAAGACATGATCAAGGTTTAAAAAATGAATATCAGAAATTGTACAGTGGTATCTCTTTGACAACACAGGACTCTCCAAAAAGAAACACAATACGATATTACAGAGTACTTGGTGTCAATAGGAAAGGACATTCGCTTCCTTTGCCTCACCTCGCCTCTCGTCATTTCACACCAACCACAACGACGCCATCCACGACCTCGCTAAACATGGGGTATCGAACAATCAAATTTACCGTTCTCCGCTAGATGGAGGGGGGTTTTTTTTCCACTCAGTATTGGTACTTTTTGTTTAGTACTTTTCATAAAACCATGCCATGGCCTTGTCGAAGATGGATTTGCCGCCGGTCTCAATCACGTCACCGTGACATGGGATGATACGTTCGACGTCCCAGGACGACTTGATCTTTTTTGCCGATTCGGCGAACCCGGCACGGTCACCTTTACTGGCGGCGTACCACAAAAACCTCTTCTGCCATACCATGTCACCTCTCGTGTTCATGATGCCGCCAAAGAGTTTCGTTAGGATGCCGGATTGTGCATCGACGCCGGACTTGGAGAATTGCTCGGTGGCGGGAAGGTTGAAGAGGAGATCTGCTTCTATCATTGTCCTGGTGGGTTTGTGAACTATATTGGTTTGGGTTGTTGGTCAGTTCCTTGCCCACACGTACGGCAATACCACATCGACCGACGAGTTGGACTGGACGAGGGGATCAAAACTTACAAAACACAATCTCCTTGTTCGGGTGCATCGGGAAGTACTCGGACGAAAACTCCTGGTCGAATTCGGTCGTGACAGGCATGTCGGTCTTGACTTTGGCAGTGTAGACGTGGGAGAACTTGAGGTGGGCGTGTTTCTCGGGGAGTCCCTCGGGTCCGACCAGTTCAGCCTGGGGGAATTCTTTCGCCCACGCGTCGACCAACAAATGGTGCTCGACGTCCGGCGCGACGATGTACTTGATCGGTCCCATTGCCTTGACCTTGGCCTTGACTTCGGCGGTGAGTGCGACGGGGGAGAAGACGGCGACGTTCCCCGTCTGGAGCTTGACGAGGGTCGCGCGACCACCAATCTTGATGCGACCGAAGCGTAGAAAGGGCACGTTGAGTGTGGTGATGGGTGTGTTGGGGATGTCCCGAATGACGAGGACCTTTTCAGGGTCGCCGGTGAACAATTTCGACGCCATTTTTTCTACTTGGTAGCGGTGTAGTATATGAAGATGATGAGCCCGGAGGAGTGTGGAAGGGTCGTGTGTAAACAAATGTGATTCAGGTGATCAATCACTGCAACTGTAAAGTCAATGGGCAAGTGAGGAATGGGAAACGAAAAGTCGAATTCGAAGAGTCACAGTGACATTATATATAGAAGACTTTGAGACGAAAAGAGTAAGCATTTATATTCTTTCGTATTCCAAGTTATCATAAAAAGAAAGTGTGTGTACTTCGTATGAAGACGGAGATGACAACGTCATGGATTCCCGAAGCACATGCAGTTTCTAGACGGTGAATATTTTATTATTTTATTCCAAATGCACAAAAGCTCGAGCGAATTCGAGCGAAGCGAACTGCAATTAGTTAGACATCTACCGTAGGGGCGCCAAGTGCCCAAAACCCACCTAGAACCTCGGCATTCAATAGGCGCTAATATAGGGATTCTCGTTCGCATCGGACAATTTACCTATTACTTCGTGCCTATAAGAATACCTTATAGTGAGGTGATTTAGGGGCATTATTCCTAGGCAGCGTTGAGGGTGCCTAATCCCCGGCTCTTCCCCGACTTACCATAGCTACTAGGTATGGACAGTGCAAGTTCGAACGAAAATCTGTCATGATCCTTGCACCACTTGGTATAATGGCTTCTCTTACTCATCAGACACTTCGTATTCGCGTATGAGAAACGCCTTTGTAAGGGTGAATAAGCTGTTGACACAGAACCCGAGAGCTCCTTGACCAGAAAGATACAATTGGCCCGCTATTGTGGCTGAGAATATGGAGAACTTTACCCATAGGACCTGTACCGTAGGCAGGAAATACTGAGCGTCGTTGTTTATTTGAAAAATCCTTCGGCCGTAAATTCAATCATTCCCTCCAGTCAACAGTATTTGGAACGACAAAAGGAACGTCCACATATTGGAGATTTATCAAGCCATAACATTGTTAAGAAAACCACATTTGATACACTCATATTTCCTAGACACGAACATCTAAGACTATCTATCTCGCCAATACCATCTTTTGTACAATTGCGAGCTTGCTAAAATCATAGAGGTAAACAACACCACTACAACAATCCACTACCAGCACATACATTTCTCCTTCCTTGGTCAAATTTCCTCATCATATCATCATACCATATATTGTCATGACCCATCTGCCCCGAGTTTGAATGATCAAACAAGGCATACGCCGCACCTGACTGCTGGGCATTCGGTTGATCAGGCCTTGCGGGAATTACGAGATTCCTCATTCCCCTCCTGGGACTTTGCAACCCTTTCGGCGTCACCAAAAGGATATCTGGGTTGTTTCCGGTGGATGTATCCACGGGTGCCCATATCTTTCGCGACACTGGAGTAGATAGAGCAGAATCAAGAGCTTCGTTGTTGAGGACCATCCCAGGAGACCGGAGATAGATAGCCTGGTCATAGCCCCAATGGTGCCATTGCAATTCTCCCAAGAGCTGTGCATTCGTCCCCCAGGCATTGTTGATTCGTACGGGGTGGTATATGAGACCGTATAGTTCCTGGACCTCTCGCATAAAACTCAAAGCAGACATGTGCGCGGAGGACAATTCGGCTTCCCATGTGGCAGGGTATATGAGGACGATAGATGGCTCCTGGGACAGGCGTGACGATTCCCTTTGCTGCTTTGCGAATAATAGAGTTGAACATAGGTCTTGGGGCTCCAGAAGAATGAACATGTAGGCGAGACGTTCAAGTGCCGGCCTCTCAGGGGCTTGTTGACTTCTCGAGCTCATCTCGGAAGAGTCCTGAAGTGGGAGTTGATCCTTTTCCTGCACCTCAACCGGTACCTGAACAGTGACAACATTCTCGTCGTCCTCGTGCAATCCGGAATTACCCAGCACAGATGAATCTGGATTTACAGGCTGCTCGAGGATTCTTGTGGTGCTTTCATTGTCCGAGTTCTGGAATTGAGGTGGGAGAGTTGCTATCGGTTTCGGCTCTGGAGGCCTTTTCAAAGCTTCTTGTATGGATCGAACTGTCTGTTGCTGTAATACATAACCACACATGAACAGTAAGAACGTAAAGATGCAGACCACTCCGCTCGATAGAGCCACAGACACAGCCGAGGACGTAAGGAGCACCATGAGGGTGCAAGGACCAAGTAATGGTCCAGGTATTCGGAGTTCGCACTGTTTCCTGCGCACTGACGAGATCTTTCAGAATGCTTCGATTTTTTGTTGAGTTTCAAGTGGTGAATTTGTGTCACTTCGATATCGATTCCGAGGCTGGTTCGTTTGATTTACTTGGATCTGAAGGACCATTTGTCGCTGTCGAGGAAAGTCGACTACTGTTTACTTTGGGTGTTGCGAGGCAACTGCGCGACTTTGGCCACTGACGTATTTGGCGCTTCACTTAACGCGAAATTTGTCAAAGGGCAGCCCGAACAACCACCACGAATTCCCTGCGCCGTCGACAACACTCGAGAAGGGTATCTAGAGGCTGTCCTGGTTCTCTCATAAGATATTTTAGCGACCACTCACAGGTGATAACATGTCTCACCGCGCCGATGCCTCCAATACGCTCGACAACCGTGGCTATACTGGCCCTCTCATTCGAGGCCAGAATCCTGCCTTACTCCTCGAGACTGCTATGCGCGATCGAATAACCGACTCTCTATACTGGAAAGAACAATGTTTTGGTCTCAATGCTGCCACCTTGTGCGATCGAGCGGTTGAACTCACATATATTGGTGGCACTTATGGTGTTGCTATGAAACCTTCTCCGTTCATCTGCCTGGCCTTCAAACTGTTGACGCTTGTGCCCGACAAAGAGATCATACTGGAATACCTGAACTATGGAGGGGAAGAATGGAAATATCTGCGGGCTCTGGCTGCATTCTATGTGCGCTTGACCTTTGATCCGGCCGAGATTTACACAACGTTGGAGCCGCTCTTGGAGGACTCGAGAAAATTGAGACAACGAAGGAAAGAAGTATATGTCCTTGTCCATATGGATGAGTTCGTGGACAACCTCCTGACGAAGGACCGTGTTTGTGGAACAAGTCTATGGAAATTGCCCGCGAGACAGCTGCTTGAAGATCTTGACCAACTGGAAGAAAGAGTCAGTCCGCTCCAGGCGGAGCTGGATGCAATGGAAGAGGACGATGAGATCATGGAAGATGTCGACCGAAACGGTACAAGAAGTGAGAACGGTGAAAGTCCCGGGAGCGACGACAGGAGCAGAGATCGGAGTAGAAGTCGGAGTGGTTCGGAAAGTGACTGAAAGGCATTGATAGGTTTGCTCGCAAAGACTACAAGGCTAATCGAGACCGTCACCGGAATCTACACAACAACGAAATCGTCGCCTCCATCGCTGGATGTTTGTTCCACAGCAGGTTCACCAGCATCGTCTGCTTCTTCCCGAAGTCCAGGATCTCGAGTGTCCTTATCAAATGGCGAAAGCGTTGCTGCTTGAGACCTGATGAGATCCAGCAGTGACGTGCTGTCATCTTGTCGATGCCAGGTTGGATGTTCAATGTGGATTTCTGTCCCCTCGGGCAAAGTGTTGTCTTCTTCGGACATCGGCTCGCCTTCGAGTTGAGGGCTCGGAGGTAGAGCGGGTACAACGCCTTGTTCCTGATGACCTGTATCCTCTTCCTGGAGCGATGGTGTTCGTGAAAGCACCACCGAGGTATCGGATTTGAACGATTCGTCGTCACCACCATTACTTGTAATGGAGTGTTCAGACCCATCATCTTCGAAATCTTGCGACAGACCAGGGCCATCTCGCTTCTCGCGGTACAAAAATTGACGGTCTCTCCAGACGTCCTTCCTCATCCATCGAGACCACTCGGGTCCATCACATGGCATGTCGAAAAGCTCCACCATGTTTGGTCCGCCAATGTTGGTGTTGACCACGTTCAGTAGGGTAATTGAAAAGTCATCGGAAGCGATTGGCATGAATGGACCTGCGTATGCACGAACCGGCCAAACGTTCCATTTATTCTGTAATTGGGTAATGGTTTCGTTGGCAATCTGGTCGAGCACTTCTGAACTCATTCGAGTTGCATGGTTGATCAACACGACCGGTTCATTTGAGTTGATGTGGACGGTACGCGATCGCGGGAGGGTTTGGTCGAGGAGGTTCTGAAGTGAACGTCCGACCTGACTGGCTGGTGTGTCCCTCTCGGCCTTACTAGTTGTGTCATCCTCGCCTTCATCTAATGATGTACTCTCGTCGTACATTGTTGGTGAGGATGAGGTCTCGTTAGACATTAGATTTTCCGATACCAAACTGCCGACTTTGACGATATCGGCATCATCGTAACCCATCTTGGCGAGGGCGTCGCATACTTTGGCCACGAGTAAGACACCAGGACTCTTTGTGTCTGAGGGTCGGTTCTCTGCGACTGTTGCATCATGCTTATCGAACCGAATGATATCGTCGACCTTGATGCCATGAAAGGATGGTAAATTGAGGATACTGTCCATGTTGATGACGAAATGTGAGTCGTTGACTCTCAGGTAATCATCAACGAATAAATTATCGATAGAGATGTCTTAAATGTTGTGTTTCTGTTTTTGGCGAAGGATTCTTATCTACAGATGTCTAAACAGCGCGTATTGCATCACACACCTTATCGTCACCAATATCGTATTTCGCACGTCTGAAGTTAAAAAAAGGGCCCTGCATGGTGAGCTGTGTCGATCCCGTGGCAAAAACTTCCAGGGTACGACTTACTGGAGGGACATGGATTATTTTTGGAGTGCATGGTTGGAATATTTTGATAGAGATGCATTCGTTGAGATCAAATTTGAGAGGACAAGAACAGGAACAAATACAAGTATCAGCACTGGTATATGTACGTCTATACATATAATGGGATTTGATGGAGTCGAGAGATAGGCCTGTGCCTATTCCTTCAAGTAGCTTGTCCTTCTAGATTGAACAGGCACCCTGATGCATCACAATCAATGTCGACAAGGTACCGAATGGCAGCCTGCTTAAAGGGGTTTGACGTCACGGAGCAAGGGTGTTGCCCGCCGCCAGCGAAATTTCGCAAGAGTCGGGCGACGAGGGTATATCAACACTGCGCGAGATTTTTATCTTCATCGACAGAATCGACAGGTCTTTCCATGGCATTGACTATTGGAAGCCCGCCATGCCTTGTTCATAGTCTCGTTGTAGGACTGGAGTCTGTGCGGAGTCGATATCCTGCGGTGCAGGAGCCAGCCAAGCGAATGCTGTTGACGATAATGCGAGATCAGTTGGAAACTGACCTGCAAGAGTAATAGACTCATACTACTGCTAGAGTCCGTGGATCTCAATTACTCAGCCTCCTCCGAGATAGGCTTCCTTTCTGAGTTGCTTGGCCGCCTTGCGAGCCTGGTGTAGACTGCCTCCGTACGAGGTGAGCAATTCCAGTCGTTTGGTCAAGGCGTCTTCCGTCACAGTGTCTAGTATGAATCGACCCATCTGACCACTCCTCCAGCGTTGGACAAACTGCAACGCTGAAGATTCAAAATCAGGGAGACCACCCTTTTTCAGGCGACCTTGCTTGCGAGCGAGTGCTTCGAGCACCACAAAGATGTCGTTGGTCGGTCCGGAGAACATATTGTACAGAGTCGGGTCGTTCAAATTGAGGTGGAAAAGGAGGTAGTCGGCGATGGTCGTCGGTGGAATTATGGTGTCCTTGACACTCCCGCAGAGTGCCAACTTGAGCATGCTCTCGGCGTCAGGTACGTACGGGACAAACACTCCCGGCGTGTCGAGAACGTAGACTCCCTCTCTCCCTTCGTCGCCCTCGATGATCTTGACGCTCGTACCGATCTTTCTCGTCACGCCGGGCTGGTCTCCTGTCCTCGCCGCCTTCTTCTTGCCCAGACTCACGTTGCGAAGCGCATTCAGGAGCGAAGACTTGCCGACATTGGGCATGCCAACGACCATGAGACGTGTTCCGAAGAGTGAAGTAGAGTGGTTGGCGTGAGCTCGTGCAAAGTCCAGGACTTTACTTATCGTCGACCGAGACTTGATGTCGGTGAACAAAGATGTGGAAGGAGCGTCCCATTTTCTGATTGTGTTTTCCCTTTTTCTGTCTTCGCTCGTCGAGTTGCTCCCCAAGTCTTGCTTGGTGTAGACAATCAACCGTGGTCGTTCTCCCAGGTTCGCTTCGAACAGCGGGTTACGGGAGACGATGGGGGTGCGGTAATCGCGACATTCGATGACCAAATCGATCTGAGAGACCAAAGATCTCATCTTGGAGAGCCCGGCGGCATGGTGGCCGAGATAATACGATCTCGGTATGGAGGACAGGTTAGGGTAGACCTGTCGCGGGACGAATGCCTCCATGTTCGAGGTGGTAGAGGAATCTGGGTAGACTGTCGGCGAGCAGCCATCTCAACGATGATCCATACAATACGACATTGATCTGCGAGAACCGTTGGTCACAGGTCTGCCGCAAATGCATTCTTGAAGTAGAAAAGTCGAAAGACCGCAGTTGCACTTCAGAACAGTAAATCTCGCCGTACTGGAAATATAGGGTAAAGTATTTTCACCTTACACACCTACTCCTTCTACTGCATTTCTCGATGTCAGGGCATCCTGAACGAACAACATCGCCATCCCCAAAAGAAACCCCATATCTACTCTATACCTCTTAAGTGCCTGATCCCTGTAAGAGAGAATCTTCTCCAACACAATGATCCAGCGATAGAGACCATTTGGGCGGTGTTCCAGCATCCGGCACCTGTATCCGTCAAGAATGCGATACAGGATTATTTACCGACCTCTTATATCGCAGAATCCCATATCATGACGATCTATATGCAGAAATCCTGCACCATTCCTCCTCCCCCCCCCTCCCGTACCGGGGTTTCTACTCGCTTAATCTACAAACCATCGTGAGATTGAAGGCTTTTGCAGAGCTTGACGCAGCACTAGCTACATGAGTTCCCCCCCTCCAACTTCGACTCTGCCAGCAGTAAGAGTCAGAGACCAATGCCGCTTTCCACGGCTCGGATGATTGATCAGCATCGTGCTGTCAATTTGGGTATGACTTTGAGGCACTTATGTTCCGCTGTTGCCTCGAGACAGCATATGTCTCTTTGCAGGTTTGTGTTATTTCGTTTCGATTTTGTATTATCATTCAGATTGTTTTTTCTGGGTTTAAATCGCCAGTTCCGACTTTTGGAAGTGGTTGGGACCACACCGCCTATTGAAAGTACAACATGGCATTCACGCCCGCTTTCCTCCAATGGCTGAACCGAGAGACCGGGTTCCAGTCACTGCGAGACTATGGCAACAAGGATATCTATCTGATCTTTCTCACTCGCTTTCTGAGAATGTTTGCCTACGGAGGAGCTGCTTTGGTCCTTGCGGTCTTCCTGTGGATAGCTGGATACGGACTACAGATTGGGGTCTTCATGACACTGACTCTTCTTGGCGATGCAGCAATCAGTTATATCCTCACAATAGTGGCCGATAAGCTTGGTCGTCGCCGGGTACTAATGGTTGGTTCTCTTCTCATGGTCGTTTCTGGAACCGTGTTCGCTTTGACCGAAAACTACTATTTGCTCCTGTTTGCGGCCATAGTTGGGGTCATATGTCCAGGTGCCCATGAAGTCGGACCGTTCCGCGCTCTAGAGGTAAGGAGATTACCCAAAATCATGAAAGTGTGACCTGATCGATGATGTTTCATAGGAGGCAATCCTCGCCCAACTCTCGCCCATCGAAGCCAGAACTGATGTCTACGCATGGTTTGCAGTGTCATCTACTCTTGGAATGGCTTCTGGCCTTTGTGTCACTGGCTATCTGACCTGGGCTCAACGAACTTTTCTCCATCGTAACTGGAAAGAGACGTACCATCCTGTCTTTGGAATGTACGCTCTGATCGGACTGCTCAAGTTTGCAATAACCTTCCTGCTGAGCTCAGAATGTGAAGCCAGCTCCGCCGCGAAATACACATGGGCTGCTACTACGACTGTTGAGGAAGTCGGGTCACCATCTTCAGAGCAGACCGGCTTGCTCCCACGACGTTTCTCAATACTGAAACAACCTCGAGCAGGTGCTGCTACTATGGCCACATCTTCCTTATCCACCCGCCTACGGAAGTCAATAGTGTCACCATGGAAGGTTTCTCGATCTTCTCTACCAGCCTTGATGCGCTTGTCTCTATTGTATGCTTTGAATTCCTTTGCGGCAGGCATGGTTCCATTGACTCTGATGTCCTGGTATGTCCGTTTACGGAACCGATGGTTTTTGATGCATTATATTGGATACCTCATGGCTGTTGTATGGCTGTTCTCCAGTCTCTCGAATCTGCTTTCCGCATATGTCGCGAGACGTGTTGGACTCGTTCGCGCCATGGTTCTTATGCACTTGCCATGTGCCTTGTTCCTAGCGCTCATCCCGCTGGCTTCAAAGACTTGGTACCTATTGGCGATCCTTCTTCTCGCAGATGCCATGTTCGGTAGCATGGACCAGGCACCGCGGGAAGCGTTTGTGGCTGCAATGTTCCTACCTCGAGAAAGGACCCAAGCCATGGGTACTTTGAATTTCGTGAGGACTTTGGCTTCAAGTTTCGGCCCATTGATCACTTCTTACGTCTGGTCAAAGGAAAAGTGGTGGATACCGTTTGAACTGGCAGCCGTCCTGAAGATCTGCTATGATGTCGGAATGCTGGTCATGTTTCTGCGGACTCCGCTTCCTGAAGAACGCAGACGAGTTGAAGTAGAGAATGGAGCGGGAGGACCGCAGGAAATGACCATGACGGCTGCAGATTTGGATGTAAATATCTTGATGGACGAGTACAGTGCAAGAGACCTGGCGTCGCCTAGCGACTTCGAAATTAGTGACGGCGAGGAAGGTGATGATGAAAGAACATTGAACGGGGATGAGCAGGATATCTCCAGCCAGAGGCGAAAGTATAGCTCTTGAGGAGTTCACCTCTGGTGAAAACCGAAAATTAATGCCACAAGTAGATGGCTTGTTAGAGCAAAGCTGAGGAGGAAGCATGTCCCCTGCACCTCTTCGGGTCCATGCTCTACAGTCTTTAGTGTTCCTCAAATTCACGACAACGGGTCGTCTCAGCTGGTCTTGTGCTAGATTCGTTACACTATCCTCCCAATCGTCGCAATAATCGACTCCTTCGGGACACGACAATGACTTTGATACACGTTGTCATCAGACCTGAACCTGCCCCTTGAGACTTGAGGGTCATCTGTGTGATGGGAGGACGAATGCGCCTTCCTAACGTTACTCTGTATGCAGTCCAGGCACCACGTCGAGGCGGTCCCAACCTGACGGTCTCTGCAGATACGCAGAGGGTGTGAGCACTGGAAGACATATCCCATTCCTCCTTGGCTGTGCGAGAGTTGTGAACCACTGCTGTTCAATCAAGGACACAGAGAATATTTCCAGGATTTCAGTTCAACCTACTCCCAAGCATTATCTTAGCAGAGCACCAACCTCGGACAGCGAATGCCGTAGTGCATGATATGAGAACCTGGGGATCAAGCACTGGACGGTACAAAAGGCAACGAGCTTGGTCACTTTGCCTTGGTTGTAAGTACAAGCTCGACGATCCTGCAATAGTCTTTCAAACCGGTCTGAACAGACAGGCTCACCACAGCCACAAGCGGCCATCGACCACGTGCAAATCATCGATTCCGTTTGAAGAAGTTGCGGGAGAACAGTTGTACAGACAACAGTCGTGGCACGAGCCTCGCTTCTCGAAGCGCAGACGCCCGTTGTACAAGTCCCAAGTTCCAGGTCTCACAAGGGATCCTGGTACAGCATCTTACACGACCCTGATTGTTAAATCACGAGGCAGCAGGCCAAAGCACGTCGTACTTTGCAAGAGGTCTCTGCTGAACGCGGTACGAGTCCTTTGCTGACAAGCATTGCAACTGGAGAGGTCAAGGGGGCTCGTAAGGCGGACAGCAGAGAGGGCTCTGGGCTGGCTGGCTGACTGGGCGGCAAGAGAGACCTGGATAGATTTGCCCGAAGGAGGAAAGATTGATGAGGTCGAGCACTGACGAATCACATTGACCGAGTAAAGTGGGCCAGAACCAACACCACATTCTTCCCCTCGTTCAAGAGTCCTCTCTACTCCGTCCTAGTTTGGTTTATTGGCTCTTTGGCCGACGGGCGTGAAGTGCCCTTATCTGCGGTATCAGTTGTCATCGCCATCATCCGGGATCTCTTGCAACTTGTCCCTCTAAACTGCTTGTGGCAAGGCTGTCCGCGCAGCCAACCGAGACTCTCGCTTTACACCTTGCTCTCTCTCTCCTTCCATGTTTGAAACTTGCCCCCCCTCGTACGGGTGAGTACCTTGTCTCCATTCACCTTCTCTCCTGGGTGTTACAAGGTTGTCCGCATCGTGGTTGTCCTTTTTGGGAACAGTCTACGTCTTTCATCAATCGAGTTTCAGCGATTTGACTCGAGCAAAGACACCGTGAGCTGGCCCCGGTCGTGACCTCGTTCGGATCCGGCCTGTGTTGGGTACGGCGTTTAGATCACATATCGAATCATATGCTCCTGTCATTGGCTTCAGGTACAACAGGTACCCGTACACCTGGCAGCTCGGCCCAGGGCATGACTGGTATGTTTTTACCTCCAATGGACTGTGGAGTTGGCATCAAAGATGCGAGCCGATGACGACTTCCACTTTCTCTCGACACTCTACAACCTCTTCGAGCACCTCTCTCCCGTTGTCTACTATTCATACTCCATACTCCATTACCCGTGGGCAAAAGTCCATCCCACGGACCCATCTGACAGTCTAAAACTTGACCTGACTTGTCTCGCCACTTTACCGGCCTTTCGTCGTTCTCCTACGAGCCGTTTATTTACACTTGAACGCTCCCACGTTTCACAAAACCAAGCAAGCACTCTTTGAACTTCTCTGTATTTCTCGGAAGTCTCTGAGTCTCTAGCGGTTCGAAACTTGGGATCTTGTCTTGCCCCCTTGTCTCTTCTATTCCCAGTCTCGGAGATCTCCTTAGATCGACTGACAATACATATTTATTTCTTGTACAGCCACCTTTCCCTTTATTTTCCGAGGCTGAGCATCAATCGTCTGTTGCTTTGGACGTTTCATTCATTCGACTCGTTTTGGTCTGTGAATAGCCATTGACGCCAACGCAGCGAAACCAGTGCGACCAACAACCATCGAGGTTGTAAGGTGACATATCGGGTCGGTCCATGTCGATGATAACCGACGTCCCCAACCCACAGCGATAAATCCACTACAAGAGCCCTCTGCGACAAAGCAAGCCCAATCCGCCATGTCTTCGATAATGGGTGAACAAGCTCTCCTCTGGATAGGCCTAGCCATATGCGCCAGTGTCGTCACATATTTGAGTCTGAGCCAGCGCCAGAGAGACGTGGTCATTCGACGACTACAGTTCCGGGGTCGTCGAGCATCCAGTGCGAGCACGCCACCCCGATCACTCTCTCCAGACAAGAAGGATCCATCCAACGCGCCTCCCAAATCGTCCGAGTATGTCAACGCATTCCCGCCTTCGATCCGAGAGGGCCTTGAGGAAGCCGCCGCAAACTTGCCACCAGCCCAGCGCGAAGCCGTGGGAGATTTGGTCTTTGACGAGAAAACCTGGCACAAGTGCATCTTGGGTTTCGACGAGGATTTCCGCACCGCCGACCCGGACAAGTATGTGTACACAGGCATGAAGATCCAAGAAGTTCGTGCTTTGGGTGATTTCCCAGACTACTCGACTCTGAGTGGTGTTCCCTTGCCAGAGCCATACCTGGAACACGACATTGACAAGGCTCTACCCCGACCTTACCGTCCGTTCCGATGGGCGTATCATCAAACCATGTGTACGTTTCTTTTGATCTGTTGTTTCGATCATGATCACACCCTTACACAATTCCCCATTCCCCCTTGTCACTGCTGTTGCATTCCCTTGTTCAACGATCAAAAATCAAAATTTACTCACATTTGGATATCAATAGCCTTGACCAAACTCGAACCAAACTGGTGGCTCGAACTTGAAAACACGTACCGCACGCGCATCGCCCAGCGCAAGAAATTGTACGCGGAACACGGAGAAGCCGTGTTGCAGTGGCTTCCTGGGTCGGAGCTGGCTTGCAAAGAACTCATGGAGATGGTTCTGCAATTTCTCTGCGCCAGATACCCGCAGTATTTTGTCTTGGGAAAAGACAAACGCACTTTTCAGAACAAGATCCTCAACACGACACAGGACGTCAAGGCCAAGCACCCTCTGTTGGTGTTGCTGGACAATGTTCCGGAGGATTTCGCCATCACCATCCGAAACCCAGAGACGGGTTACTACCATTTCCGCGCCGGCATGATTTGTAGCGCTTTGGGTTGGAACGTCGGAACCAAGATAGGTTTACAACTTCATCAGATCCACGCTCCTATTCCAGACTACAAGGAAAAGATGCAATTTAGTATGGATAGGTATGTCTTCTTGCCCTTTTCTTCCCCAAGGCGTCTTCATCATCATCTCCTTCCCCCTCTTATTTCTGGTCTTGCATTTTTTTCCCTCCAACTTCATATTCGTATATCAATCGAGTAACTAACCTTTTGTGTTTTCCGGGGTCATTGTAGATACTTTACCAAAATGCCGGCCAACAAACCCATCCAACGTGGTTCATGGGGTTTGGAGGTCGATCAGCCGTTGTACATGCCCCCCGGGGACCCTCACGAGAAATACCGAGATTTCCAAATGCCCGACTTGGACGTCTCCCGCATCCATTTGAGGGTCGACTGGCAGACCCTCCGGCGTTTACCGTTGAGTGGTGGGATCGTCTTCAACTTCAAAGCGCTCTTCACTCCCCTGACCGAGTTCCGTGACGAACCTTACGTCCCCAGTCTCGTCCTCAAGGTGTTGAGGGAGGGCAAGGAAAATCTCATGAAGTACAAAAACACCTGGCACGTCGAGCACGTCGTCGTCCCGGCCCTACAGGAGTACGAGGCCGAACAAAAGTCCAAGGGAGTTGTCGAAAAGGATTGGCCGGTCCACACTCTGGACGACAGTCCTTACTTTCCCGGCTGGAGGGAAAAGTGGGAGGCCAAACAGGGATGGATCCCTAAAGAAATGACCTTGGACAAGTCGAATGAGTGAATGAGATGTGAACTTGTCCATTCCGAATCCCAAAAAACAGCCACCGAAGCACGAGTTCTTTTTTTAATCCTTTTCTGAGAAAAAAGAAGCAAAAAGAAAAAAAAGGAATCATATAGTTTCATATGGTTGTTACATTTCTCATCAGCCTAGGAATAAGTTCGGATCTCGAGACATGAGTTGGTCAAACATTTGAGCTACCGCGGCCGTATACTAAAAGGTCGAACGGACGAGTTTCAATTGGGGATTTTGGGAAAGCTTTTGAATACAACTACGTTTGAAACACATGACAACATTCTATCCTTGCCTTACCTTGGGTAGTAGTAGTTCCCTAGGTAGTTACGTGGTGTCACATACTGCATTTGTCCCACGATTGAACTGGATACAATATCTCAACCGTGGTGACAAACCTCAACACTGAATACACATGACTTTCTTGTACTCACGATCTTTTGTTCTTCTTGAAATGACTAGATACCCCAAGGTAGAGAGATGCCTCTGCTACTTAATGCGACCAAATAACGAGTAACTCCCGTGATGCAGCGATATGATCTCAACCACTCCTTTCATAAAAATTCAAATGCCCAACCAAGACCAGTTCATGATCTGGTAAATAGTAAGTAGGCGCTCATACATCTCTTTCTACGAGAACATCAGGTAATGTCCAAATCCTGACATCCCCCTCATCACCGGTCGAGATGATGACCTCTTCCCCTTCCGCTCGTTTATCCTTGTCTCTTCTCTCGGCCCAACAGACATGATTGATCTCAAACTCATCATGAGCCGCCTCGATGACCGCAACGACAACCCACTTCATCTTGTGCACCGCGTACGGTTGAGGTGCCTCCGCTGCCGCTGCCTCATCCGAATTGGTGGTGTTGGTGGTGGTTGTACCATTCATGGCCACGTCCCCAGCACCAGTACCATTGGCGCCGTTGGCGTCCGCATCGACAACCTCTTTGTACACCACGATCGCCCCGTCTCCGCCACAACTCACCACCAGACCTGTCCGCCTCGACCAGTCCACAGCATAGACGCTGCGAACATGGACCTCTGGCAGTACAGAATCCTCCACCCACCTCTCCATACTACTCATCGGCCGAATGACACTGGGTAATCTCGAACTCGCAAACCCCGTCGGTGCCGAAGATGTGGTTCTCCTTTCTGCCCTCTTCGCCTTCTCAGCCTCGCTCAACTCGCGCCTCCAGACCCGTACACTCAAGTCGTCCGAACACGAGACTATTCTCGGTTGCCAATCCGCTTCGAATTCCGCAACCGCCGTATCTCGATCTGGATCCGCCAAGCCCGACAGGTTCAGTCTGTCGTAGTTGATGAATCCTTCCCACTTGACGTCCCACACTGTCCCTCGGTGCCCTTCAATCACACCCACACAGGTCCAATCTCCCTCCTCCTCGACATCGCGCCACAACCTGATCGTGTCGTCGTAAGAGCCGCTCGCCAGGATATCTCTCGATCCGAGTATGTCGTCCTCGTCACCACCGGTTGCAAAAGCCCCGTTGGTGTGTCCACTCATCTCAACGTCACCGTCACCCGCGGTCTCCAGTTTCCGTCTCTTGTTCTTCCTGCCATTGCCTCTCGACGCACCCGCGCACCAGCTGACGGACTTGACATCGCCCGTGTGTTCGCTGAGAACGGCGATCGTCTCCCACTCCTCTGGCTCGACTTCTTCCCATATCCACACCGATTTATCCCGCGAGCATGTGGCCAAAAGATTCGCCGCATAGTGAGGCGGGGCAAATTCAATGGATTTGATCTCGGAATCTGGTCCGGTCAAGAGCGTCGAAAAATGCCATTCTTCATCCTCTTCGTCGTCGCCGTTGCGCGTCAGGTCCATTTCGTCAGCCATGGTCGCGTCTCGGACACCCCTTGAAGACGGCTGATTGTCGTTACCATCACTGTTATTGTCGCCCAACCTGGACCATCGTCTCTCATCGTTCCATATCCATATGCCGACGTTGGCGTCAAAGCTCCCCGTGCCCAGCACGACGGGTTTTTTATTCTTGCTGGCATTCCTCCCGTAGTCCTTCCAGGCAACAGCCCTAACGCTGCGTTTGTGACCGCCGCTTATGGTGGAGATTAGAGAGAAGTCCCGTAGATTCCAAATATTGATCGTTTTGTCTGCAGAACCCGAGGCGAGGAGGGGCGTGGAGGGATCAGGATGGGCAAGAGATTGCCATGACCGGGAGGGTCCGGTCGAAGGATGCTTCAGGTTCCTGAGAAGGGATAACTCAGGAGGAGCCGAGTCGGTCATTGCGATTGTGAGGAAGTTCAATCGTGGTAGAGACGGCGGTTGAGCTTCCCCGCGGGATATGAGTAATTTGCGGTGGCCGCAGGGTTGCTCGAGGGCAGACGAACGGCGATCGGTCAGGGAGTCAAAGAAGCTGTAGAATCATGTGCAGCCACACCCAGCGTTACAGTAAGATCATGATAAGATCTATGACTTCGAACCCCGAAACAGATCAACGCTGGCACTTGGTCGTGGGGACTTTTTTTCCTAAGATTCTCACGAGGCACGAATTAGGCAAAGTGACGTCGGCGGGGGAAGGAATGCCGATTCCCGATGGCCGACATTCTACGGCGTACAAAGTAAACACAATAGAAGTATACAATATATAATGCTAAGTCTACATGAGGTATACGAGGATTATCTCTGTCATACATGGCTTATTTTGATCCTGAAAAGGTCACCTTCCACCAGTTCTGAAACTTCTTCGGAAAGCCACCATTCTTTTCCTTATTACTCTGCCACCACCACGCTGAGACCGCTCCTACAGCCATTCCCACAAGATGATCGAAATAGTCGATTTTCTTGACCGGCCGAAGGCTACCGAAGACTTGTAATGCACCGAGGGCTATCAACAAGCTTCTCCCGTCGAATGAAAGCTGCTCCGCAAGGTCTTTTGGAAGGAACATGATGGAAAACCGGTCGCTGGAAAAAAGTATCAGTACCGACTCTCTGGTCAGCTTCGTGGGAACCAAACTTACTCTTGGTGAAGCCACAAGTAGGCTGAGACGACTCCGTAAACACAGCCACTGGCCCCTAGCGTTGTGGTGACAAACACCTTCGAAAAGGTGTGTCGGGCCAAACTGCCAAAGCTCCCGAGGATACCGGAAGACAAGAACATGGCAAGGAAAGTAGCTCGTCCAACTTCCTCATGCAAAGGAAGACCGAAAATGACCAGAGGGATCATGTTGGCCAAAAGATGACCAAGTTTCTGGTGGCTTACAAGACTTCCCAACATACTGAAGGCATAAGGATATGCCGGAACAATGATGAAGTACTTGTTCAGAGAGGACCAGAACGGCGGCATTCTCCAGGCAAAGAACACGGCAAGATTGACAGCCAACAATGCACCAATCGTCGCGACGGAAAGCGACAGGTCGGGGAAAAAACGCTCGGATTGCTTGGGTCTGTGCCAGTACTGTGTGTAGAGGAAACAACCCCCAGCCACGAGGGAGGTCAGGAGCAGCGATGGGAGCAGTCGCCGACCCGCAGACTGTTGAGCCACTTCAGGGGACTCAAGCGTCAACTTGGATTGCGCTCGATTCTGAGCTTTCAAAACCCACTTCTCAAACGAGTTTGGCGGTCGTACTTCCTTTGCTGACTCTAGCCCTTGTTCAGGACGCTGGGCAACTGCATTCGTCTGCTCTTCTTGGACTTTGGTCATGCGCTCGTCAATCTGGGCCTGTAGTTCCTCCTCCTCCTTTTGGAACTTGGCCTCGTTCTGCGCTCGAAGTCTCTCGAGTTCACTGACGCCATACACGTCTCCTTCTTTTTCAGACAATTTTGCCTGGTAGTGACCGCTCTGCGGACCTCTGTAGAACCTGAGATCTTGTCCTCTCTGTAACAGTTCTGATGGATTATCCCGTTCAAGGGCGTGCTCTTCCCGCTCGATTCGAGCCAGGATGGCTTCATCTTCATCTATCGGATATGCTTGTCTGAGCCAGTTCAGCCCTTCTTCGAAAGCACGGGGATATTTCGACAACTCCAGCTCCAGATCTTCAGGGAGTGGGAGATCAAGCGTTCCATCATACCGACGGCCGTGCAGGATTCGCAAGAGATAGTTGGCTATCGGAGGGGGAGGTCCGCGTCGCCCGAATATGTCGGTGAGTTCCTGGGAGTCGAGTTCTCCATCCTGGAACCGTAGTCCTTGCTCTGGCTTCTTGCCGGAGCCATACGCTTTGAGGATCTGCGCAGCGGGTGAGGGCCAAAAGTTGCACCGGGTAGACCGACTGAAACACCTTTGCTGACTATATTGAGGACACCGAGGAGACGCATGGGCTAGAAGAGAGCTTTTCGAGGAGGCAGGGGTATCAAACAAAGAAGAATGAAGGCAACGCAGTCCGATATTATTCCCTCGAGGTCGTAGACATGTCGATTGTTGGAGGCCTCTCTTGGCCAGGCGCAACACTATCGTTCCAGCATTGCTCATTGCCGCTTGTGAGCGACGACCGCCTCGGACTTCAACGGCGATGTAGCTACACAACGAACAATAGAGATGGTCGACACAACGCTCGCGATCGCCGGAGAGGATCTCATGATTTTCTTTGCCAGATTATTTGAAGCCGTCGCCAGAACACGTGATTAGGCGACGAGGCTGGCCGATAGCCTTGCGCCGGTCTCCAGGATGAGAAGAAAGGTGTTTGCCGGACGATGTTACGAAGTCACAATGTCTAGATATTGCTGTATAACTATCTCGGTACATGAAAGAACGCCGGAACGAGGCTGTAATCCGTACTAAGTAAATATCAGCCAGCCTTGTGTGAACAACACTTCACCCAAGGACCCACAAATAAACAACAAGTTGCTATATCAATTGAATCGGTGAATATTCTTTCAACAATCACCAAGATCCCTCAGTGATGGCTCAGGTTAAAATCACATGGCTTATGTGGTGGACAGCCATTCACTGAGGCGAGCAAGGAAATTATGGCCTCGGGTTCGAATCCCACTGTGAACAACAATTCCTCCTCCTTCATCTCTTCGGTTCGATTCCTCCTCCTCCTCCTCCTCCTCCTTCGATCGATAATGGCTCAGGATAAAATCACATGGCTATGTGATGGACGGCCAACAAAACAAAAAAGAGATGGAACATAACGAGTATAACCTCCCCCCTTCTTCAGCCCCCCCTAGCCCAGGAAAAACATAACATGTCACCTCATTTTCTCTCCTAAAAAAAACCAATTTCTTTTTTCCAAAAGTGAGGAAAACAAAAAGCAATGCTTCCTACCGATAATACTTTTTTTTAGTTTTAGAGAGGAAAAAGAAGAGCGTCAGGTAAATAGGTAGCATTGTCTGTAGCTCCTTCGAGTCACGAGGTTGAATTCTCCACCATAGAAAGGCCCAGCACCCTCGATGTATACTTGGCCTAGCGACATCATGGTCACATCATTGTCGATTTATTGCGTTTTTCATGCAGGTATGAGAGTAGTTTCCCGAGACTCACCTAGATACCAAGACTTTCATACTACGTAGTCTGGAGACATCTCGTCCATTAGAGAGAGCATCCTCGGTTAACCAAAATATCTGGGGTCGTTCGGTCACTCTAGCATCTCCTCCCCGCACTATATGCCCCATGGCTTTGAGGAGTTTCTGGACAACAGCCTTCTTCCAAGCAAGCTAATGCCTGGAAGAAGTTCCAGTAGGCCGAGATGTGAGGTAGGTCATTACCTTTGAAGGTCTTGGGGGAGGTTCTTGGGTTTTCGCCCACCACTGCTTCAAACGCTCCAGACGCCTTTTTCCTCTCTACTTGGAGGATATACACGGTAAACTGTCACCTTCGTCTTACTCCCTCCGTCCCCCTCAGCCATGGAGGAAACCAAGCAAGTCGTTGTCTCAAAGGGCATATATCATGGTTTGCCAACATACCCGGACACCCCTGAATTCACAGGACTCACCGCCATCATCACCGGCGCCAACGGGATAAGTGGTTACCACATGCTCAAGGTCCTGGCCGCAGCACCACCGACCAGATGGAAGAAGATATACTGTCTCTCGAGACGTCCTCCGCCGGACTACTTCTTCACAGACCTCGGCGAAGGCGCCAGTCGCGTCGAACATGTCTGCGCCGACTTCCTGTCGGACCCCAAAGAGATCGCGAAGAGTCTCCAGAAGATACCACGAGTGTAAGTTCCTTTGACTCCATCACCACAGGTTTTCCTCAGTCTCAACGCATTTCACCAGAGACTACGTCTTCTTCTTCTCGTACATGCAACCGTCACAGGAAGGTGGCATACTAGGAATGTGGTCCAACGCCGATGCTTTGGCCGAGGTCAACGGTAAGATGGACCCCTTTTTCCTCATCCTCGTCGCACCTGAATCCCCCCCTTTGGAAAGTCTCGTCGTTGACGCGTTCCAATCTAGCCTCACTCCTGCGCAACTTCCTTGGCGCTCTCGAGATCTGCTCCCTCAAACCGCGCCGCGTCCTCCTCCAAACCGGCGCCAAGCAGTACGGTTTCCACATGGGTCCGGCCACCAGTCCGTCTTTCGAGTCTGACCCTCGCGTCCTCCTGGAGAACAACTTCTACTACCCCCAGGAAGACCTGTTGGTCGACTACTGTCGCCGCAACTCGGCCCAGTGGAACGTGGTGAGACCCTCGTACATCATCGGCGCCGTTCGGGACAACCTGCTCAACCACATGGTGGGACTGTCCGTCTACGGCTCCGTCCAAGCCTACCTCAACCGCCCTCTCGCCTTCCCCGGTGATTACGTCGCCTGGGACCGAGAGTACTGCCAGAGTACGGCCATGTTGAACGCCTACCTGGAGGAATGGGCGGCTTTGAGCCCCAACACCGGCAACGAAGCGTTCAACGCACAGGACGGGTTGGCCTTTACTTGGGGTCGGTTCTGGCCTTACCTGGCAAAATGGTACGGTACGACTTTTACGCCTCCGGAAATGGACGAAAGTAAGTACAGAGTCAGCGTGTCCAGGCACGATCAGAATCCCAGAGGGTAAGTGTCCCGAACAGCTAAACCCTTGTCCAAAAATTGGGTGACCGAGTGGTCCGGTGTTATGGTGATTGACGATAAAACTTATCTCTAGCTACGGCCCACCCGGCACCACGCGCTCGACGTTCTCGCTCCTAGAATGGTCGGAAGATCCTGCGGTCGTTAAAGCATGGAGCGAGCTTTCACAAAAGCACGGCCTCATGCTCGATCCGTTCAAGGACCGGGCACAGATCTTTGGCATGACGGACAGCGGCGTCATCGGCGGCTGGGCTCTTTCGCTGAGCATGCGCAAGGCCAGGAAAATGGGGTGGCTCGGCAACGTCGACTCCTTCGAGTCGGCTTTCTACTGCCTGAAAGACCTGGCGAGGTTGAAGGTTTCACCACCGTTGGCCGTCGACAAGTTCGAAGAAGACATCTAGATCTACGCAGCAGGAAACTGTCCGGAGTGGTGTGAGATGGAAATTGAATCCAAGATTGACTATCAAGTGTGATTATTACTGTGTATCTAGCTTCCGTCGCCACCCTTTTTCTACGTTCCTTGTCTCAAAGACTGCAGTTTGAAATGCCGTTAAAATACCATAAATGATCCGCCACCGACCCACCAAGTTGGCCTTCATCCCCTTGTAGATCAACGACGCCAGTGCTGACCTGGACGTCGTTTGCCGTCACGGGAACGAGCGAGGGACTGGTGATCCAGTACTCGGGCGAGACAGATGCGAAGCCGAGAGGATACCCGGGCAGTTTGGGCACGATGTCGTTTGCATGCGTAACGCGGTAGTTGCCTCCAGACTGGCCCGTGATGAACGTCGCCAATGCCACGTTACCGACCATCGGAGAGCCATAAGTGTACTGTTCGCACGCCAATCTCGTTAGTTCGACACACAAAACGCCCTGACAGCCTGTAGTAGACCACCTTCTGAGAAGGGGGGAGGTGTCTCATACCAATGCAATGTTATATCCGGAATTTCTCAAATCAGCGGCTGCAAGTGTGGCCAGAGCGCCGCCGAGGCTGTGACCGGTGGACACGATGCTGTAAGACGGATTCGCCTGCCTCGCGCCATCAACAGCTCCTTGCACGATGGATTTCGCACTGTTCCACGAATCCAGAAAGCCGGAATGTGCCTGGCAGCCAGAGCATATGTCCGAAGGCTCCATCAAGGCGTCCAGGTTGGAAATCCAATTCTCGATCGAAACGCTGCCACGGAAGGCAATGACGATTAATCGGTTGGTATGGTCGAGCGCCACGTATCCCTGGGTATCGCCGGATCCGACACTGTTTTTTGTGTGCACTTGTTAGTTGCAGGGTTTGGACCAGCAAGGATCATCTCAGTAAATGGCAGTGTTTATTACTCTTTGAACTCGACAATCGACTGGGCGCCAGCACTCTGGACGAGCGGACAATTCCCAACGTCACAGGTTATAGCTGCGGTCGAACCGGGCGAGTTATTCGCCGGACAGTATGCCGCTGCCGAGTACTGTTCGAATAACGACAACTGATTGAGCAGATCTTGCGAAATTGCTGAGAGACATTCAGAGTGTTAGTTTTGCTTGGTTCTCTTCCGTCAACTACTACATAGGTAGTAATATACTTGCCTCTCTTGTCCAGTTCCAAAGGCAGCGAGCGTACGAGGCCCAGGAAAATGAAAGTGCAGGTGAAGATGTGACGAAGGAGTGACATTTTGAGAGGGAGGTACTTTTATGAACTGGATAGAGAAAAGGAGAAGACTGCGTTGGGCTGTGATGCACTGGTAGTAAAACGAAAGTCGGTAGCAGAAAAAAACCTGATTCAGTCACAACGATGAGACGAAGAGTGCGTGAGATTCGAGGGCGATCATGGCGGGCGGCTGATGAAGTATATATATCAAGCATCCGCCCTTCACGTCTGTACCGTGACTTTTACCTCTGCCACATGTCAGGGTACATGACCTGACAGTGCCGATGAAAAGCATTATTCCCCGCGAGTTCGTAGCTGATCACCGCGGCTCAAGAGGCCGAAGCAGGGGGAGGAGGGGAGGAAGATTTCGACTTTTGTCTAGATGTAGTCAATCCGATCAGCAGAGCAATCTAAAAGACACAAAACAGCACAGTAGTCACTTCGAACTAGAAGAAGCCACAGACGAATCAAGCATATGCGCCGCAGCGATCCCGCGTGACTGACAGGTTGTGCCTCGGCCAACGGGAAGATGCAGGAAGCATGTGTAGGGCATGAGACAGTTTTTCACATGGTGGTTTTCATGATGTTGACGAAGAAGACGCGTCTCGGGGCTGCAACAGAACGAAAGAGCGAACAAGGCAACAAAAACGATGCAGCGGGCGCGAAATGAAATGAGTTGCGGGGATTTTGGTAGCGAATCAGGGGCCCCAGAGCGTTCATCACTAGATGGGACACTAGTCTGTTTAGGATACTAGCGTTGAGCTTAATTGTATTGCATTACGGTCGACTTTCTATCCAACGAGCCGCAGTTTTATCCTTCTTCTCCCGTTCATATCTCTCTGCACGTAAAATTCCAGGTCTTCTCTCGAAGTAAAAATACCCTTGCTGCAACCTGTCACGGTTCGGAGAGTATTTCTTTCTAATTTTACTCACAAATTTTACCTGTCAACATCGGCATGCTCTTCAACGTTGCAGAAAATCCATCCTTGTTCTGGCACACAAGTCCGTCGGAGGTTGGCCCAAAACAGGCTTGATGCGCTCCAACTTGGTCTGTCCTCCTGACTTGGTCTACACTCACTACCTCTATTACTCGAGAATGAAAAACCTAATTGCCATATACGGTTTGATCCTAGTGGGTGAGCGAAGGCCGCTTTAACCTGAGCTTTACCTGAGCCTTTGGCTGAGCATCACTGAGCGCTCCGGGAGAGCTCCCTGAGCACCACACCGAGTGCCTAATCAGGCCCCTTGTAATCGGCTAAACCTGCCTCTCGACTGTGCATCTGTTTCAGACGGACGCCAGGGGACCTGGCAAATCGCACGCCCTTACGCTGCTGCCTAACCTTGGGACTGGCGGTGCGTGCGGCGGTTGGTCTACGCGCCGAGACACCTCATGCCTCCCTTGACTGCGGTGACTCGCAACTCCCCTACCAAACCAATGAAGACAAATATCGTCTTCAATCTCACCAGCATAGGGTCTGAATTCTTTATCCCTAAAAGGCCCTGTACTCCTTACATTGAAGATGAGGAATCTACGAGTTCTAAAATGCTTAAGCACGATATTTAACCCGTCATCGACGAGGTTGCTTCGGCTTTCTTTGACTTTCTCGTGGTACTGGATCCGCACTTTTGGTAGTTCCGAAAGCCATGTTAGGACCCGTTTGGTGCCTCGTCTCCGTCCACTTGATATATCCTTCAATGACTCGCTCCATCCTGGCCGCGACCAGTTGCTGAAACGATGGTGACCTAGATTTCGACAAAATGGCCTCATCAACAGCGAGAGGTTGATTGTTCTCTCCTAGTAAAGATCTCTCATCCGCTGTCCTCTGCTTCAGACAGGACGCGAATGGAAACGCTGCCGCGCTGCCCACAGAATAGCGCTCAATCTCTTAATTTCACTGTATGCACAAATCCGGGACATGGCCAGATTGCGAGGGCCAATACAGCAAGAAGATGTGGACATTGAGGTAAACGTCGAGCAGCCTTTCCGGGTCCCCTTTGTACTCTTAGGCTCCGATTCGGGCTCCTATGTAGAGAAGAGATAAATGAGATCCTATTCTGATCCCCCTTACTTCTGCTTTTGTTCCCCCCATATTGTTGATTGCAATATAATGTAACTAGTTTACTGTACAGTGTCGGAGCATAATATTCTCAACGAGACAGAGAATTGGCTCGAACCGCTGTCGCCTTTCCGGGAATGCCTGCTCGTCGGAATAATGAAGACCGCGCAAGGTGGAGAAGCAAATGCCGTTGTACGTTATCAAGCCATCTCGGTGAGATCAGATGCCAATTATGATCTGAAAAGCTTCTAACAATTACAGAACAAAAGCTAGGATTGCATATACAGCCGTCACAAGTTCGCCTGGTTCCAACGATCAACGATCCATACCGTTGGAAATATCCTCCACGTCTTCAAAAACTATTTACTAAAAATATGAGCGATCAGTCAATTGGGGTCTATAAGATTCTATGCCGGGAGATCGAAGTTAAAAAGTCTATCATAGCAGTAGCACAAGATGAATCTGGAGGGCTTGACGAAGGGGCAACGAGCGATGATGAAGTCCGGCAAAGCACCGTCTATTATTTTCTAAGCCAGAGGCTGACTCTATGTCCGTAGCGCCCACGGTCGTCAGAACCAGAGCTCGGACCACTTCTCACAACTGAGCAATTGCAAATTGAAAACCAAAAGCTCTCCAAAGAGGTGCTATTATTGCACGACCAGGCCACACACGCTCAAGAGGAAGCAGGTCGAAAGGATCGAGAGATCGAACAACTTCGACAGGAAATACAGAAGTCGACATCGACAAGAGACTATTTTCAGGCCTATTTACAGAGATGTTCACAACAAGTCGAAAACGCATCGAAGCTACTCGAGTCATTAAACCGCGAACTGAGATGCGACATCGCTGTCATTCTTAGTTAATCTAACTACGACTGACCACGCTCTCGAGGACGGTACTCATGCTGAGAATTTCTCTTGAATTTCGATTCAATACCCGCTGAACACTCGGATGATCGCTGAAGACATATTTGCGTTTTGGGAGATGGGACCCCAATATGTACAATTGGACCGGGAATTTGCAGGTTGCTTTTACATTGTCGGGACGTCTCCAAGAGATCAAGAATTTACACAATATAGGTCAAGGGCCTTCCAGAGGAAGGGAGGGTGTCGAGCCAACGTAGTTGCGGCATTATTGAGTCTAGGTTGAGTGTAAATTCTGCAGATCCACAGCTTGGTGTTGAGCAGCGTGAAGATAATTTGGGCGAGCGACAGAGAGTGGGTGCCAGTGCACTTCTGAGGACGGCTTGGCGGGTTCTGAAGCGTGCACTGAGCGGCCCAAGCACCTAGCGTAGGGATCACCTTCGGAAGGGCCCAACTTCCGGGGACATGTTTGCTGAACCGATATTCACATGCAAATCACGTGCTTTTATTTGTCGTGCTCCTGTCCTTACGTGGACTAGTCCTGCCAAGGTTCCCCAAATGATTTCCCTGGTGCGCGGCTCACTGCCACGTGGTCCTTTCAGGTTTGAAGAAGGCGAAGCTGCCGTGATACCTAATCACTGTGAAGATTTTACTCGATGGAGAGTTTCGAATGGCTTGGTCACAACCCCAACACTCCTTTGGCCAGAGAGCCTTTGAAGGTCTTGGAGAACTGCCAGTCGCGTGTTGCGAACGCAGGCATTCAAAGAGAGCGGCTATCTAAGAAGCGCAAGAGGTCCCCGGAGCCTTCGAAGACAATGAGCCAAACCCCGTCACAAAAAGGCGTCTCCTTGCTGCTGGATTGGGTGTCTCTCCTCTGACCCAAAGTGAGCTATTCAAGTTTGTTCGGTACTAGATTGACTGACGTCCATCAAGACTTTGAAGATGACTTGACGCCGAAACCTCAATGTCCTTCCGTCGATCCCCTCACGCGATCCACATCCTCTTCAATAACGGATCACTGGCCGGCTTCCCATCACAGACCATTTACTATGATCCCTCGTCATTGCGGACCGTTTACATTTTATGTTTAAATCTAATGAGAGACAAATCTTAAGAGCAATTTGGACCGACAGCATGCGGCTCGCAAATATCATGACCAAGAACGGCGGCCGGTGTCCCAAGTCTTCTTGTCCAGTTGGCAGTAGGACTCTGCTGTTACGACTTGATCTCGGGTGTGGAAATTGATTGGCCGACCTGATAACAGCGTCCACATGACTGCCGCTCAGGAGTTGGAGAGCATGGAGAGCATGGAGGTCTGTCAGGATATGGGATGTACAAAGAGGATGGGTACCTGGTAAACCTTCAACTCCGTCTCGTAGGCAACAGCGACGCAAGCCCCCCCGCGGTCTTTACCATCGGCCAGCGCAAAACTCTCGATCTCCCGGGTCATTTGAGTACCTGAACTGCATGTAGCATCGATTGGCCTAGTCTCATCGAAGGGGTGAAGATGGGTACATAGGGTAAGGCATGAGCGTGAGTGGCGAACCATGTGATGTTCTCAGTGTGGTAAAGGATGAGCTGATGAGATTTTGTCACCAGGTTGTTTTCGCGACACCAAGTTTCCTGCATGTTGCTTGAACTTGGATTTCCTCGCGAGTGATTCGCTATCGGCTTCATGTGCTGGCGGTGTGGTAGTTCCGAAACGCCGGACCTGGTGCTGTAGTGAAGACATGACAATGAGCTTCTCTTCCTCTCATTTGGTAATGTTGACGGCAGATCATGTGAGCTTGACCAAGTGGAGGAGAGTGTTGAGTAGAACCCCAGTCAAGGTTGTCCCTCAGTAAAGCGGAATCCGTGGAACAGTGATTTGGGGCCAACAGAACCCTCGCATGGTGACTAATCCACGAGCAATCATCACGGAAATAGCCAATGACGTTTGGGGGCGATCACTCAGTGCATGGACATAGTGCTCTTCCGATTGTAGGATTGATGAGGATGAAACGGAACTTTTGTTACCTTGTTGGTGTTGACAAAGTAACAACTTGCGTGTTGCTTGTAAGTAGCGTGGATCCATACCACCGCCAAGAAGTGCCACAGCCCAACCATCCCCTTTTGAGGTGATGTCACATGTAACCTAGCCTGGGCGCTTAAGGTCCGACCGCGACTGCACTTCGCTGGCAACTACATGAACCTGCCCATTCCTTTCTCCCTCATTTGGAGCAACCATGGCACGACGAGACAGTGAAACCGCTCAGAAGACCAGAAGGCAGTCCTTGAATCTGCTACACCAAGGTCATTTATCCGCTTCCTCCTTCAGAACTCGACTGACCAGCGAAGGGAAACGCCCTCAAGGAATCAAGAAGGGACGAAACCAAAGCTCTCTTCGACGGAGCGCCCGTTTGGACCGATTGATTGAGATTAATGAGACTCAACAAAAAACCAGCCAGCAGCCTCTACCATCTCCAGTCAGCGACATCAAAAGTCCTAATGTAGGTCGCCAACTTTATGCTGTGATGGAAGACTGACCCAATACAGCGTGCGCACCCACCTTCTACCCTTCTACCATCGAAGCCTCCGAAGCGGAAACGAGAAACCGAACAGCAACTAAACCCGCCCTCTCCAAAACGACCGCGAACATCTTCTCCGACACCCTCTATTCAGGACGTTGATTCTATTACATATTGGACGCAGACATACCACTGGCCGCGAGGATACTTCAACGAAAGTGGCGAAATGAATCATTTATTGGCGAGAAAGAAATCCACCGCCTCCCTTCGCCGAAAGCGATCGGATAGCGAGTCTGGCGCACCCAGTTCAACACCGAGCGATCAGAAGCCTAGGGAAGAGAAGAGTGCCCCATACCAAAATGCGCGTTATGAGACCGTGCTTGCTACAAAGGACAGTTTCATGGGTAAATATGGACAAGGTACTACGAACGAGAGCAAGCGACTATGCGAGCAGCTCCTTGACGAACAACCAACAGTACCGCAAGATACGATGTTTTCCGACGAGTACTTCGAAGAAACCTGTGAAGCAATAAGAAACAAGAACGAAGCTAGAGTGATTCGAGATATCTCACTTTTGATTGTCCCATCAGCGGAAGCCCTTGCCATACGTGAAAGTCAGCATTGTCGGATCTTGATTGAAAGCGTAAACGAAGGGTGGAACAATTCTATTGCACTCACCAAACCTCGCCCGCAACCTGATTACTCGGTCGGGTTCCGACGAGAAGCATTCACCGAGACCCAACTTCAGAAACTTCAACCATTCGTTGGCGACCTCACCGACAACTCCTTCTTCATGGGGACATGGTACATGTACTTCCCCTTCTTCTCGAGCGAAGTGAAGTGCGGTGCGGCCGCACTCGACGTGGCAGATCGACAGAATGCACACAGTATGACCCTCGCTGTTCGAGGAGTCGTGGAACTGTTCAGGCTCGTAAAGCGCGAGCAAGAGCTTCATCGGGAGATCCTCGCCTTTTCCATTTCGCATGACAACGAGACTGTGAGGATCTATGGCCACTACCCTGTGATCGAGGGCAAAAAGACCACGTTCTACCGTCATCCCATTGATAAAGTCAGCTTTACCAGACTTGATGGGAAAGAGAAATGGACGGCGTACAAGTTTACCAAAAGTATCTACGATACCTGGATGCCTGCTCACTTCAAAAGGCTTTGCTCAGCAATCGATGCAATACCACCCGATATACATTTTGAAGTCACGGAGGAATCTGAACTACAATTCCCCTCATCATCTGGACTTTCACAAGGACTGGAAAGCCACCACCTCTCGGACTCAGGAGCAACAGGTGACGACGAGCTGAGGCTCCTCGATCCTCAGGAAGTGACACCAGAAACTTCTATTACCCAACCATCAGAACAGGCGACATTCAAGAAACCAAAGAAGAGATGAGACTCGGTATTCACATGGCTAGAGAACTTCTGGAGATAGAAAGGTCGGATTGGGGCGAAATCATTTCGACGATGTTACTGTCTCACAATCTGCTATTATCATGGTGTTCGGGAACAAGTTTGGTGCTCGAAACCAACCGGCCGTGAACTTGCCTATACAATAAGGGATGATAATGTTATCGACATGGATAATTTGTATTGTGAATGGGCCGAGTGAGTTGCACATGGCGCGACGTTCCCAAGAACATATGAGGGAGAGAAGTACTGGAGGAAGCAGAGAACAGGGAGAAAGGGGCCTTGACACAATTGGGGAAAACGGAGTATTACGGCGGACGTTCAATGCCGTCAAACGCTGACGATCCGCCCTGACGATCTTGCTATTCCGTCAGAGTAACCCGTCGCCACTTTTGGGCATGTTCCAACGCAATTTTCCATTCTCGAATGGCTTTGACGAAGTCTAAAGCCAGATGATAGATTCGAGCTGAAGCAACCAGTACTCGTCCGTGTAGGAGTTGGTCGCCAACATCCAGATTGAACAGATTCCTGGAGATGCCTTTCGTCTCCCGGATTTTCTTTCCCGCATCTTCCATGCTGTAAGAGTGGCCTGGTTCAAGCCTCCAGCACTAGTGCGCTCAAGATTGTTTTTGCTTGACCTTGCCGACTGCCGTCAAAATGTCATAGCTTCCAATTTTCAGCCAGAATGATGACTGACGCTGTGTTCATCATGCCAAATAAACCCCTCAAACGCATTCCTTACTTCCTTATAGACTTCTTCTTCAGATCCGTTGCAATCGACCTGTGCCATGTAATTAGCTCACAATCTTTATGACTCGACGGCTTCCTCACGCTCCTGAAGAACCCAGAGGTCGTTGACAGTCGAGGCTCCATCGCTGCTCTCCGTTTTTCGAACTCTTGAATTCTTAGATCAATGTCCTTATCATCGACGCTACCATGGTTTTTTGAACGTTGGAGTGCCCTTTCTGTCGAGCAGCGCAATAGCAGTGTATAGTTTGATTTTTGAAGCTTTGGAGGGTGAGCATACCCATTACGACTGCATCAGAACACTTACTTTCTCTTCAAATTCGACAAGTTGTCGCACGTTTTCCGGGAAGCCGCGCAAAAGCACCCAGCCTTTCTCGTCTGTACTCTCCGCGATTGTTTTCTCTAGGACCTTGATTGCTAGATCGGTCGGAACAGTCATATTGTGTTCAAGGCAATCTCTCAAGAACTCGGCGTGGGGGTAGGTCTGATCAATTGACATGTTGTAAAAGATATCAGTCATCGAAAGGTGCCGAACTCCAAATTGGTTGGAAAGCAGTGTACAGTGGGTCTTTTTGCCAGCGAATGGCCCGCCTGTCATACACACATTTAGTATAATCTTAGCATTCAAGGGAAAACTCACCAATAACGAAGACGACGCGAATTCGATTGAGCCTGTTGAGAAGATAAGCCTGTCTTTCCTGCCCGAGCAACTTCAGCCACTGCCGGGTTTCCGGAAGCCTGATTTTTGGTGCCAAACCCTGGAACTCTTCAAGGTTCTTCTCCCCAAGCGTCATCTGCTCATACTCAAATGCTTGTATCATGCATTCGAGTTTATCGACGTCATACATATACTGAGCTTCTCTGGTCATTCCTTCTTCATATTCTAACCACGCAGTCCGCAATTTCTCGCCGAGGGTAGGGTCAAAAGGATCCAGCAAACTCTTGATGTATCGAAAACCAAAATCTTCCAATTTGAACTTGTCCTCTAGAACATTTCTATCAGAACAATAGTTCGAGTTAGGCGTGGAATGTGTACCTTTGCTGACATTGTCGTGCGGCGTAATGTCGCCAACGACCGACTCCGCCATGTCATGAGCCAAGGCCAGGAGTACGCATTTTTCTTTATCTAGTCCAGACTAAATGAGGTGTTAGAAAATCATGAGGTAGTAGAAATTGAGCGTACCGGTGCACACAAAGCCATGAGGGCCATGCGGTACATATGTGCGGCAACGCTTTCGGGGTGCTCAATCGTTCTCAGCCATCCTGTCCGAGGTAATTGTTTGAGGACATTGGCAAGATGTAGGAATGGTAATGGTGACATGTCCAAAGTAGGTGAGCGATTCTCCATGGCGACGATCGTTTGCTTGGGACCTTGAATGGGGAGGTTTGAGAAAGATGAATATGAGCGGTGGTGCCATTTGATTGTCTGCGCCGAAAAAAAGTGCACCAGCGTTGCACTAGCCGGGTCGGACCCCGCTCGGACCGTGCCAAATTCCAGCCCCCCACTTTCTTCTCCTACTTCTTCCCACTGAATTCTACCATCGGTGTTACTACAAAGTCGACGATTCTCTAGAAGCCGCAGTATGGAGCATGCACATTTTCAGCACCTCGAGGACTTTGTGGGGCCTCCGCCCTTTGTTCAGCATGTACCGCTCGTGCATATCGGTAGCACGATCTCACCTTTCAAAGTCTTTGGGCAGACACAGCTCGACAACGGTGACTTGAGGGAGGATCAAAGTCATGACACAGATCCTACAATTCATCGCAAATTTTCTGCCCTGCCACTACAACCAGAACAACCACTAACCTCGACCCTTTCGCTTTCAACATCGCTATCGCCTGAGCGACTAATCGCAGGGCAACGAACCAGTATGAATTCACAGGCTGTCAATGTCTGTGATCAAGAACAGCTACCTAACACCAGTCCCGAGCTCCACTCAATCATGATGAATTTTCTTGCCGACACGAATGTGGGCGGTTTTGAGATTTGCTTGCCTTTGGTTCCACCAGACGAAGAGAACTACACCGTGGATATGCCTACTCATACTTCCTCTCGGAGAAACGGCAAACCATGCATGAGATGCCGAGCACTGAAGAGAAAGGTATTGGCTGTCATATAAATGCAGAAACCCGCACACTTACTACACTCAGTGCGAATTTGGCGCTGAAGGAGATCCACGGTGCATAGCCTGCTTCCGATTTGACATGCCAATACAAATCTGCCAAACGGAAACCATCTTGCAACTCAAGCCGTTCGAGAAGTGTAAGTTGCCACCTTCGCCTCTTCTACACGAAATATTGATAACTGGTTAGGGAAGAACAAAGTATACGAGATCACTTTCACATCAGTGCAGCCGGGACGCGGGTCTCCTTCGATGCTCGTAAGCTTACAGCACTACCCAGGCGGCCCTACTTTGGATGTAGAATGCACGCAGTTCAATCCAACGAATCCAAACCAAATTCGCGACCACCGGAAAACCCCGGAAGGCTGGTTCTGGAGGCAAACAACTGCCTATTGCCTCACACGGCCCGAGCTCGACATTTCAGAGTATATTCAACGATGCATTCCAGCCTCATTGATAGAAGCTTGCAGCCGACCTGGCCATGCTTCGTTCTTTTTCAGATTGGCATCCTCGTACCGCAAAGTAAGGAAACTCTGACTTCACCTCATGAATACTGACGAAATGAGGAACCCATTATAACGCATTGCCTGGAGCTGTACACCACGCTGCGTCTGGTGAGAAATGGGTGGAGATTCGCCGGACTCGAAAACCTGGGGATGACTCCTGTCACCGACGCAACATCTCCATGGTATGGTATTACGCTAATACCCCGCATGGTACAGAATCAATTGAATCATAAGTTGGAGTTAAGAATCATCGAACTAGACGAAAAGATTCTCAGGCAGTGCAATAGGATGCTACGAAAGAGGGCCAGACGTCAGTGGATGGTTTTGGTCCTTGTGTTCTTCCTCCTGCTCCATGTCCGAGAAATAGATACTGCGAGGAACATCTTCTGGAGACGATACAGTGATCCTGTAGGTGCTGCCTAAGACTATAGTACCAAGTTGGCTAACCACCTAAGGCCGGTTTCTGGATACATCCTTGGAAACCAGCAACTATCATTGACGGAGCGATTGCCTCGTGCAATAGCCTGCTGTCACATTTTCACTACGCAGTTGGATACAAATCGCTCCAGATGGATTGGGAACGACAGAAGTCCAAAGACCTGGTCGAAAATGATCCTACGTTTATCACAACCATCAAAGAGCTCCAGGCATACATTATAATCTTGAGTAAGTGGTCAAGGCAAGCGCATCCCCGTCCTGACACTAAGGCTCACCAGAGGAACGTGGCAACATCGGTCGCATGGCTCATACCTTGTACAAAGATGGAGACCCGGATAGTGTTGACTTCACAATAAGCTCGTTGTTATTTGGAAGCATGAAAGAGTCCGTTGAGGTGAAGGGCTTCTATTGAATATCTTGCTTCTGGAAGCGAGCTGGACCCAATGGTGACATGTTAGTCACTAGAAGCATGTGAACGTTCAACGTTCAACGAGTAACTATAATATAATCAGAAGTTGGAAGCATAAATTGTCTTTTCGCTGTGCTCAATCTGATCAAATTGGTTGCTAGTAGAGTAATCGATTGCACAATCACGTGAGACAATTTCCTTGGCATGAAATTTGGAAATTATCTGGGGAGCCCCCTCCCGCCTTCCCAGGTCTCAACAGTATTCACAGTGAGCTTTCATCCACCAGCATGTCTGAAGCGAAGACATCTCCCTTCAAGACCTATTTTGATGAGATAGCTGAGAGTAATGGCGATGATGAGTGCAAGGCATGGCTAACCAGGATTTTTGAATTAAAAAGTGAAGTCGTAGACTTCGTCAGTCGTCGTCGGCAAGGAGGTGGAGTCGGAACATACTCTGGATTCCTCAAAGGTTCATTCAATTTCAGCTTCCGGGTCAACTTCCATGACGGCGAAGACGTCATTATTCGGTTCCCAAAACCTGGTCACACAGCTTTCGCAGAGGAAAAGGTAGCAAACGAGGTCGCGATCATGGAATACCTTCGAGACAACACCACTATTCCTATCCCTCGGGTACACAGTTGGGGCTTGACTAGGGAGAGCCCTCAGCAGATAGGACCCTTTATCATCATGGATTTTGTGCGCGGCACGCTTCTGTCGACGATTCTTAAGCTACCAGCCGGAGAGGACTTACTTCTCAATCCACATATTGATGACACAATCCTGGACAAAGTGTACTATCAAATCGCCAACTACATGCTCCAACTCTCTCAACTCAACTTCTCTCAGATTGGGGCAATTTCAAAACACCACGAAGTCAACACATGGTCGGTGACAGCAAGACCACTCACCTATAACATGAACGAGCTGGCCACGGTCTCGGGTTATCCTATCACCAAATTTCCCGTGTCACCATTCGAACGCACAAGTGACTATCTTGCATCGCTTGCGGAAGAGCACTTGACTCATCTCTGGACACAGCGTAACCTGGTTGATAATCCGGACGTCGCTCGAGGACGGTTCAGTGCGCGTCACCGACTCTGGCAGCTCATCCCCAAATATTGTCTTGATGATTCTGGCCCTTTTATCCCTTATTGCGATGATATGCGGCCTTCGAACATGCTCGTCGACCCCCAAACGTTTCATATAACGGCTATGCTCGATTTTGAGTTCACAAATGCGATGCCAGCCCAGTTCACATACGATCCGCCCTGGTGGCTGCTATTGTCCGGACCAGAGATGTGGCTCGATCAGGGCCCCCTGCAAGATTTCATTCCTCTCTTTGAGCACAGGATGGAGCAATTCTTACAGGCCATGGAACGAGCTGAAAATGACTGCGAATCAAAGACGATGGAGCCAAGTCTTTCTGTCCGAATGCGTGACTCGTGGAAGACGGGACGTTTCTGGTTTGACTATGCGATAAGGAAGAGTTTCGACATCGACGTTGTCTATTGGACTGCACTTAGACCGTATGATGACGATGCCGAATCCCTCCCGGATGAAGTGGTTGCAGAGATGGAGTCGTTCACACAAACGAAGATGGCGCAGCTCAAGGAGTATAAGGAGGATTGTGCAATGCGTTTTCAGACCACAAATATCTAGGGCGAGAAGGTGCAAACAGTCAAGCCGGATGAATAACATTCATAGTTGCAATGCTTCAAATTGAGCTATGTAATCTCTATGCAACAGGTCTTGGTTGTGATCCATCGACGACCACGGAAGGAACGAATTGTTACCAGCCCTCAATTTCCATTGCAACGTCTCAAGAGGATGTATTCCCTTTCTTCGACTATCGAAGTTCATTCCCACAACGATTGTATTGATACTTTCATAGCGTTCTGATTCTCAGTTACAAAGTTGCGTATAAATGGGTATAGAGATTCACCTTGCTGATAGATCCTAGGTCTTGGGAGTGGCACCTCCACCCCCCCGGCGCTGTTGAGAGCTCTCTCCTGCTTTCCTCATTGCCTCCTCCAGCTCTCGTTTCTTCCTTGCTGCTTCTCGCCTTTTCTGAGAATCCTCTGCCGCTTTCCGCATACTTTCTTCCTCTTCGTTATTTGGAATTCGAATGAAGCTGCCACTATCTGTCATCTTGTTTGCTGAACCAGGATCCGTGAATGGATAGTTATGTTTTAAGTTGACTTGCGTTACGTTGTTCGGATATGGACAAATCTATAGAATTGTCTCGTATCAAAAAGATTAAGGTCTCACAACATCTGCGTATTAGATTTGGCGGCGAAGTTACACTCCTCCAGGGTAACTTTCGTTAGAAGGCTCCACCATGCACGTGACTGTCTAAGGGCCGGTTCTAGGTGGTTCTAAGCATGTAATGCCTAAAAGATACCTAAGTGTAGCCTATGATTTAGGCAGCCTACACCTAAACTATAGGTGGCATATAGTTGAAGTTTAGTGAAAGGCACTCTAATACATGCCTAAACCCAGCCCGGAGTAATTAAGCTCCGTGTCACGTGCGGATGGAGCCTCCTAACGAAAGTTACCCTGGGAGGAGTGTACTGTAGTTGGTGGAGGGCTGTTTAGGGTATCCTACTGCCGTACTAAAACGCGGCGAATCTGCACACCCCATGCTAATGGGCGTCCTGCCACTGTACTAAAAAGCGGCAAATCTGCACACCAGGCTAATGGGCGTCCTGCCACTGTACTAAAAAGCGGCGAATATGCATACCCGCCTCGCTTATGAGTATCCACCGCTGCAAACAAATGAGCAAGTAGAAAAAAATCCCTGGCTCTCTGTACCTTCTACTGTACATCTCGATCGAGTCTGGAAGGATGCGCGACCTCGAACGATGTAACAGGATGTCAACAGAGACACTGCATATATGTTGACGACGCCCGATTTGTGTGACCTTTCGTTGACCTTTTTCCTCACCGGTTGCGGCATCTATCCACACTCCACGTTTCCCTATCCGTTTGTCTGGCAACAATGGAGTCGGGCATGCTACCAGCCCTTGCTCTTGGACGCGACTGGCCGGAGTGCCATGGAACTATTGTGAGATGCCCGGTGTCCTCCCAAGAATGGCTACTCACGTTACATGGCTTCCTAGACTTCAAAGCCCCTCTTTCGTGGCGATTCGAGCGTAGCATGGAAACTAGTCAGTGTACCAGCTGGCGAGATTCGCCTCCAGTGGCTTGAGGAAGATTGGCATGCGCGAATCTGCGTTGTCAGGCAATGCGATGACGATACGTTCGAAGTCGCTATTGAACCATCCTATCTCTCCGAGCTCAAAGAATGTCAATTGCTGATGAACGCTGACTACGATCCTACGCAGCCATCAGAGTCAGAAAAAAAAGTTCTTGGCATCTGGGAAGCGAAGAGGAAAGCTCGTGAACGTTGGCTTCAACAGGTTATGCAGGTGATTTACTCCAAGCATTCCTGGGAGGTCCAGCAAGTGTACCGTGATCTTACCCGATCGAGAGGCTGGCAGAGAGAGCTTGACAGATATATTTTGATCCATGATATATCGGTAAGGCCCACTCTCTGAACTCTTCAGGGAGTTATCTTACAAGGCTTTTAGGAATCTCCTCCTCCCGTCCAGCGAAAGTTAGCACAATATCTTGTGTTTTTGTTTCTTAATCTCGAAGCAAACCACAACTCTGAGAATGCCCAAACTATTCTCACCAGCACCCACGATGAGCTGCTTAACGGCCTCGAATCGGGACTACGTATCCTAGTTGCTCCAGTGTCACGGAAAAGGCCAGGGCGCGACGAGTCTCAGATCACTTCGCTTTTCCGGGTTCTTTTGGAGCTATCCGGCGGCAAATTGAACCTCTTACAGCACAATTTTGCTGGAGAATACACGGCAAACGAAAACAGTGACCTCTACGCTTCGATTTTCGGAATTGCAAGAACCAATGACTTCGGAGAGTTTGATGGTGTGGAAATGTGCAGAACGATTACGAAATCCCCCGTATTCTCTGGAGAAGAAATGAGTGTCCAAATTTTGGAAGACTGGAGTACGAAAATGAAGGATTCTCTCCGTGTTGGCTATTGTCACGGGTATCTGGTAGGATATCTCATCGGCCGGCTCTACCTATGCTGACGGATTCAGAACCTTCCACTGCAAGTCATACGGAGCCTCGGCGTGGGCCAGGTGAACATGTTCCGTACTTACCTGTAAATCTCCATTCCAACTGCGTAATGTACAACAATAACATCAAGCAGAGCCTATACGTACAACCAATTTCCTTCTCTGAGAAGGCCTGAAAATAACCTGTCGCTACTTCTTACTTGGAACGCAACGGTATCTTCTGGGAGCGAAGAGGATCACAATGGTCCTTTCAGGGTCCTTGAGGAATGGGCACAGTCACAAGATGGTCGGAACGCATACCTACGACTGGCTACGGATTTTCAAGGCTGTCAAAGCTTGGCTCAGCTTGCTTTGATCATGGCTGCTATGCTAACCTACCGAAGACTTTGCCCTGACTTCTCGGACGATTCTGAGCAACCCGTTACAGGCAGCTATGTAGCTGACCTAGACTCTCTTTTAAGGGGAGATCATCTCGGAAATAGTGGAAGAGTCGCCGAACGAATGGTTTTTGCCTTAGCCAGAGAGCTTCGCTTGTCAGGAGAAGGCTTTGAAGATCTCAGAACGTTCCTCGAGACCATACTGGACCGAGAGTGTCCTCCACTGCACGTCTCTGAGGGATTTTGTGATGAATACATACGTTTGAGGATGAACGGCATGCTTCACGACAGCGCAATAACAGAGTTAGCGGGTCTCAGGTTGCCACAACTTAGAAAAAAGGACACCAACATGAACGATGCAACGCACTTACAGGACTTGTCAATCCAGAAGCTCCACATTGAGGATTCTTCAGGTCATTGAACTGTTGAACCTGTCTCCATCCGTACCTACAACTGCAGAAATTCCATGGACCCCTATTCCCTCGTCGCAGCATCTCGCCCAGGAGACAACATCGATCTTCCACCGATACTCCCTCCTGAATGCTACACGCCAATATGAATCACCAACATTCAAAGATGAAAGTTCGGTGAGTCTCCTTGATTAAGAAATTGGGAGAGTGCTCGATGTACCTAGCATGGAGAAATTGGGCGATGGATCCCTACAGATTTGCGTCCTCGAGTCAAGAGTCAGCAGTGTACAACAAAAAAAATCTGCAAGATAGTCCCTGACTCAGACGTCAATGTCAATTACGGTCCTAACGAACCTCCAGCTGAAGACTCAAAGGTCTGGGCCTACGATCAGGCAAAACGGCTGCGTCAACTTTGGTTCGCGGAGTGAGCAATCAGAATAGCCAAAGAGGGCTGACCCGAGGCGGCTGTTTACTATGCTCACCGTTTGGAAGGTAAAGAGCACAGTGACCGCTGAAGTGATGGAGTCGGAGTTGATTGGGTGTTGATTTTCAGACGAATGTAGGAGACAGCAAATCCTTTGCCGACTGCCACAACTATGGGGCTAGCACGACGCTGGAGCATTTCCAGCCGACTGGGTATCTCTTGATCTTGAGTTCATAGTTGTATTCAGGGAAGAGACGAGGGCGTAATCGCGTACGTGTACCGTAGTTTCTGCCGAAGCATGGTTTGTCCAGTGGATCACAGGCCCAACGCTTTTAGGCTGTTCGTAACTGGTCAGTAGACGTATTCACAGGGCATCAGATGACGAGCTCTGGATACTTAAGCCACCCATAAGATCGCCACCAACTTACGACGAGCAATGGATTTAACTACCTTCTTCTTCCTGCTGGTAAATGCCTTAATCCTGTCCTCGCTGTCACTTATCTCTTTCGCTGTCACCTACATCTTTATCTCAATACTGTTCTGGCTCTGCGTCCTATTTTGTTCTCTGATTTGCTCCAGTATATGGAGGGTTATTAGAGACGCATGTCAATATCTTGTTGGCAGCGATTACGCCTGATCTGTAGCGAAAAAAATTCCAGTATATTCACATAGCAAGTCGATTTGCCATTCTGTTGCTAAATGTTTGCCAGGTTTTACGAACTCTCCGTCCAGTCTACACGGTACACCCACCTTCCACGACACTTATACAACCTAGAAACAAAGAGCCTACTCCCTCCTACAGCTCTTTCCGCCCAACCTGTCTCAGAGAACCTACTCGGAGTGTACAAAATGGCTCCGCAACCTGAGGTCAGTAACGCAGATTTATCTCTGTGGGTCAGGAAAAGCCCTAACACGAGCTAATGATCAGTGTATCACAGCCACAATCACCGATCGAAAGGAGACCACTCTCGATATCGCAAACCCCATTTTTCCAGCTACCAATCATGAATCTTTTCAAGGTCCTTACAACGTTTTTTTACACTCCCAAATATCTACTTTCTTGCGATGACACGGAAATCTCGGCCTGTCCCATTTCCGACAAAGACCTCAACTCCATGATCAATGCCTTCACTATAGAGCAACAGAGAGTTCTCTTTGCCCTCCGCTGCCAGTTCAACTCTGTCCCACCTCCTCGAGATTACAATTCACTTGTCAAATTCGTGTTTGGCTATGCGAGTCAGGAAGAAAAAGACAAATGCACGAATGGGATAGCTCAAAGCCTTTGGTACTTACTGAAACCTGAATATAGCGTCGCCACTCTCCTCATAAATCATACCGATGTCGGCATTAAGAAGATGTACGACGTTGAAGAGGAGAACAAGGCCCGGAGAGCTGAGGTGGACAGATTGGTAGCACAAATCGATGATATTATGGTAAGAAATCCGTCGGACTATCTACCGAGGGTCACTAACGTGTCAAGTAGTCCGCATGTCAGCAATCAATTCAAGTTCAAGCCAACAATGACCAAAAGAGTGGGACAGTCTTTTACGCCAGCATGAAACTCTTGAATCGCCAACCTACTTCACAGTCTACTGTCGAGTGGATTGCTTCGGACGGCTACGAGTTCGCTTTGGCATGTTTTAGTGATGATAGGTCCTTGAAGGGTTCACTTGTGAGACACTGGCTGGGTGTCGAGAAATCAGGAGCAGAGTAAGGCTAACCCGGAGCTTATATGAGGTTTCTGATCCTCCCTAGTGTCGACCTATGCATCCGAGAACTGAAGAACGGAAATTCGCAAACAGATATCCGCCTGCGGTTGGCAATTTTTGCCACCATCTGGCACAGGGCTAGAGTCATGAATAGTGTAAGCCTGGATACCACTTCAAGTTGGGTTATGCTAACTAAGATTCAGGATCAGGGACTTGGTCAACCAGCAGCTGACGACATTTTCGGGCTGTGTGAGGACTTTCTGGTACTACACGAGGAGTTCTCTACCATTCCCGAACACCTCCTTCTCCGACTTTATCAATATCACGACTCGTATTCGGCAGGAGCAACAAGAATCACGACGTCCTTCCAGGGATTATGAAACGTTGAAACTGGGAAGGAAGTATGAAAGTTCCATTTGCGGGTCTGAAATCTTCTTATACTTAATCGAGCATAATTCTGATAGATCGAAGCAGGTCAAGACACTATTTTCAGGCTTTGCATATTCGACTCTCTAAAAAAGCCTTTAGAATCAGCAGAAATCCCTGTCACCGAATATTCGCGGGAAGCCGGATGACGATCATAGCTAACTTGCGTGTATCCACAACAAGGGGCTCACATTTTCTAGGGCGATATGTGCCATCACAGCAAGCTCAAAGAAAGAGCACATCAATATCCTAGTGATGGAATTGTTGCAAATCCAGGGCAGCGCCTTTAGGCTCTCTTGCAGGGGAGGAAGTGTTTAGGGGGCTCGATCTTGTTTGACAAGATTGACAGTTGAAGTCATGACTCAAGGCGAAATACCTCGAGAAGAGAACAACTCATCTGGCTTAAATCTACTCTGACAAAGTTGACTCATCATGCAACAAATGTTCTAGTCCCGTCATTGAATCCTCCATATAGGCAGAGTTGAGTCAAACAAACAGATTCGATGTGCTGTCTAATTCGGCGCTGGTGTCGCACTTCCTCTGGATCCTCGCTTTGTTGCTCTTAGAGCTATATCACGATGGCTCTCTCAAGTTGTTGCGGCATAGTAAGGTGAAGCCCCGGAAAACCCCTAGCTGATTGTCGCTAGAGTATGCAATCAAAAAGTTGTCCGTTGACTTTGGCACACTAGTTGGGATTAAGGCTCCGTGGTACTAGGAGACTCGAAAAGGGTGCCAGCAGCGGCTTCAATGCTTCGCGCCAAGTCTGAAGTCGCCAGAAGAGAAATTGAAGATGTTCGAAGGAAGCTTTGGCTAACCCGGGAGATCTCAAACGGCAAGGGCGAAGAAGGGTCTCGTATTGAAGGTATTCTTCTCAGTTGGCTTCGGAACTTGATGAGCAAGCAAGTGAGATAATCTGTCACCCCCAAATTCTGTGAATATTTGACTCTCTTGATAAACCAATGCGGGTCCGGGAAACAACGTCTTGCTACTTACACGTGGATGAGCGAACCTTTGTTTGATCTTGCGGAACGGCTGAGCACCCTAGCACCTCATTCTTTTACTATTGTCTCTTTATTGTCGTCTCTTCGAACCCTCTTTGCTTCGCTCTCATATGGCGTCTCGTAGAGTACGGCGTGATAGCTACTGCGTCTCGCGAGTATCTTTCCGGCGCTCCGTGAGATATTATGATGACGTGCTTTCTTGCATCGTGGGCACACTCAAGGGAAGATGCCTCTCCTAGACGGCATCTCTGAGGAAGATCAGGTGCATCACGGTTGGGCGGCCTGCGTCCTATGCGGAATGTGGCCGTCAAAACACTTCTTATCGCGGCCGAGATTTTAAGTACGCAAAGAAGCAAGACAAGGGATGCAGTCGCCATGAAGCTGAGTCTCAATCTGTAAAAGGCCGGTGACTAAGGTTTAAATCTATCTTGGCCAGGTGGCATTCCGTTTCTGAAATCAAGAAACCGGCAAAGGGATAACCGGTGTGGAGGCCGGGAGACAGGTCCTCCAATGAACGGTGACATTTCAGCCTCAAAGCGACCGGTGTAGGATGGAACGAGTGCCTGTTGGACCCAAGCTCTGTATGACCGTCTCCAAATGATCTGTCTGCGCCCTGTTTTGGCATAGCAGAAAGGACGGCAGATTTCGCGACGAAATTCTTTCGTCCGGTTGCGACCATCCTTGTCAGCCTGACTGCCTGTGGCACCTCGTGCGCCCTACGGATGAGATTTGAACTTACACGGACCTCTCCCCCAATCCCTGGACTTGAGACATTAATGTTTTATCGTTGTCCGTTCACCTTTGGCCAAATCATCCCTTGCGCTCTAACTTATGAGGCTGGAGAGGCAAGATTTACGGCGGTTGATCCTCCCGCTTTTGCTTGATCTTTGTGGGCTTTTCTTGCACGCATCCGTCGAGCTTGCCCTTGAGTACTTCGTCTTGGAGACAGCCATGTATAAGACCTCACTCTATTCTGGTTGCTCTAACTGAATTAAAGGTGAAGTCAAGTGAAGCGTTGTTTGAGAGTCGAATCTAATCTAGACCATCTTCAACAGGCTTTCTCAATGGGAACGGCCAACACTTACGATTTAGGAGCACGAGACCAACTGGGGGTTCGTACGTTTGGCAATACGGGGGAATGTTTAAGACAGTCAAAAGACGACAATATCCAGGATGAATTTAAGGTATCCCATTCCTCGAGCTATTCTGTGGTGATTGCTGATCATACAAGAGTTCGAGTCTGACCTTATTTCTCTGTTATTTCTCGCGACTCTATGCACGCATCCAACAGAGGGAGCACACCTCAGATGTTCGGTCAGACAACGCCATCTCCATCGGACTCCAAGAATTGAAAAAGGCATACATCGAGGCCTTTCCGGATATCTATGCGATTGCTGCCCAGAATGTGGATGGAGCCTCATACATGGACTCACTAGGCCACTTAATAGGCATCGTGGACAACCTAGCAATGGCGTCTCAGGCAATGCTCCACGGGAATTACGACAAAGGGTCAATTTTCTTCTATGACCTTATTGACGAAGCGGAGTCGATTTTTCAAAAAGCAAATCTGACCATCTTAACCCTTTTCGAGCTACGAATGAACGAAGCCCACAGTTCCACACCGAATATCCTGGCTGACCCAGGAGGTCTTCAAGCCTGCCAAACTCAGCTTGTCTATGTGGATGGTGCTCGCCGCTGATGAAAATTGTGATGGCGATGGGATCTACCGTTTAACACCAGTGTCCATCGTGAAGTCGTTAACCGTCGTGGCGAGGGGAGCTTGTCGCTTTGTGTTACATACTCTAAGCCACAGTTGCGATATCTAACCTCATCGCGAAGCTTTCCTATAGAACGGCTCACTTGCTATCTCAAAAGCTCCCCAAGAATCCCGCCTCCGAATTACTCCTTGCCTTCTGACCAAGTAAATAATTGCCTCCGATTGTGCCACTAGCTCTCGTTCACCCCTGTCGCCGTATTCCCATGTCCGCTCAGCAATGGATGGATGCGCAGGCTGCCGGTCTAGGAGCCGACAAAGGCACCTGATTGGCAACGCCGTCGTCCTCGGCAGTGAAGCTCCATAAGGTGTCAAGGTCCGGTAGAACATTGCAGCAGCGAAATTGATTGATTAGCTGCAAATTCTGCGTAATCGATGATGGATTGTTGAGGATATTGCTCAAGGGCGCCAGTACATTGGGCCCGAACCCCGTGAATAAGTCGTCTGCGGCGGCCTGCGCAACCGTGCTGGGACTCACATCTGACGCACACGCGAGAATTTGTAATTGGTCGGGCTCGTCGTTAGCAGCTCTAAGGGCGACTATAAGAAGGTTTAGTTGTATTAGCTTCATGTCGACCCCGTAGTTTTCGATTAAGAAGTAGTAAAATACTGTGAAAATTTGTAGAAAATAGGAAGTACGGAGAGGAATTGCTAATACTAACCTACGAGCTGTAATTGTAAATGGAGCCCTTGCAGAGAAGTCGCGACATCGAGAAAATCATTGACGGTGGTGACATCACTGTTCCACTGATTAATTGCGCCTGCGATGGCGGCCTGGCTTGGGACGCCGTCCGCACAACCGTTGGGTGAGTTGCGCTTTGCGAATCGCAGAGAGGGAGTAGCGGCAGAAGCACCGATGAGGCCAAGAGCCAGGAAAGATAAGATAGCGACAATCTTCATCGGGTATTGTACAATCGATATTGAGTAAGATTACTCGTCAACCTATTACGTAAACATGGAAGTTGTTGTACTGTAGAAGCAATAATGGAAGCGAGAAGAATCAAAGGTCTTATACATTGAAACTTCTTATAATGCTATCTCAGTCCCTTTTACAGCGCTTAACCGAATCAGAATTTGATGTACTGGGCGCAGGCTTTCACACATGGATTTGCCGATATTTGAGGGACTAAAATGGGACCCATTTGGGACCAAAAATGGACCCGTTTAGGACCCAAAAAACACCCTAAGGCTGCCCGAAAGGGAGGCACACTGCCCATAACCAGCGTGACAAGGTCGAATATGGGCAGTGGCAAAGATCATGCTTGACGCGTGATGGCTCCATGAAATGGCCATCCCTTGATACTGTTTGCGATCGTGCCTCAACCCAAAGCTGCCACATAGTTGCGTCCCTCAATAACTGGCTCTTTCATCTCGCGAAAAGTCGCCTCAACTTCCTCGACAGGGGGCCTCCATGGTCCAATGTCGCCAAAGGTTTCCAAACGCTTTTTCGACATTTCTCTTTCCTCAACACATGTCCTCGTATTGTTGAAGAATATCTTGCCTCGGCCAGTTTCTTTCCAGTTCCATCCGGGTTTCACATTCCACATCTTGTCGAAAACTTGTTCCTCTAGAGAGGTTCTTTGCGGGGGAGTCCGTCGCACTGGGAAGCTAAACGGCTGTCGAGCTTGTTCTTGCCGGGCACCCATTCTCCCCTTTCCTTTCCTTTTCTGGTGGCGCCATCCTGCAGTACATGAGTAGATAAACGAAAAAGGAGGGCGTCTCGATTTACATACCTCTCCAAATCAACGACAGCAGTCGACAGAGGGGAAGTTTATTGATAATTTCCATAAATTTTACGAATAGATTCTCTGCCGTCGACACGCTGCACTTACTTCAGAGGCTGAATAGAGCCAGCACAGGCACAGGCGCACTTCTTTATGTTTGCGAACGAGCATTCGGGCCCAACTTTCGTCCCAAAATGGCTCTCAGAACCCTTTTGGGCACCAATAAACTATTCGGCTATGGACGAATTGATTCCCGCCGACCAGATCCTTTCCACTGGGTCTGCCTGACAAGAAATCGAGTATATGCGTATCTGTCACGAACCTACCTTGACGAACTTACCTTTCCCTCCAGTCCTCCACCCGATTCAAGTGGGAGGACAGGTAGCAGACGATTCGGACGCGAGGCTGGGAAGATAGGAGACTTCCGGCTACAGCCGTATTACACACGTGATGAAAAGGGGAAGCCATAAGAAGCTTCTCCCACCCGAAACGGGTGGGAACTGGCTCTTCTTCTTTCTCAGGCGTTGAGTCGTCATCAATATGACGTACGCTAGATACAAACAATCCCAGTTACTACAGTCCTCAGTGCCATTGTGCCAATTTGCGGCGACGGTCCTGATAGTATCCGCCAATGCCTGCCTGCTCTAGTCTTCTTCATTAAGACACCTCCGTCTTGAGCACTCTATGAGCAGCTACAGTATAGCCAATACAATGCTCCTCTCTACACCAATTTCTCCACCCCTTTGTTTAAATAGTCCTTTCCGGAGTAGATCATTCCCTCCGGCTCTTGATAAGCTCTGTCGCTATTGCGTATTTTCTTTGCGACTTCTCTTTCTTCCTGGACTAAAGCGAAGCATGGACAGCAGAGTGAACCGCAAAAATCGAAACAAATATTGCCTGGCAGTCCAAACCTCTTCCTGAGGTCATGACGACTCGCGCTTTGGATACACGACGAGAAACCACACCAGGCAAGAAAAGCCCAAGCGCAGCACTCAAGGAGACATTAGTTAAATATTCCGGCAAAAGGAAGACGTTCTCACCTCGCGATTGAACCAGGTGAAATCTGAGAGTCGTCGGTTCCGAAGACGGGCTTGAGTTTTACCATAGAGGAAGCAGGGCAGAAGCCATCCAAGTACACCTAAGCCCTCCGTTAAAATCAACTAGTTCATTCACAACACTGATTATCTGGCCATACATGTTTCATCGACGAAAGAAGAGCCGAAGAAAGGATGCTCCCACTCCGACATCGTTGCACATCTCCTAGAGGAAATTGGTCGATTGTTGGCTCAAGCCTTTAAAGGCAACACACAGAGATAAGTGGCAATGAAACAAACTCTGAGAAATTCGGGACTCTGCCACGTTGGTACAGTATTAAGGAGGATTATGCTCGAGATGTGCTGGCATTCTCCTAGGCAAGAGAGGGGCCTATTGAAGCCCCTTTTGCGTCCCAGGGGAGATTTGAGGAGCCCAAAAGGGAGCTCACATCTGCTGGCATGGAATTCTCTGAATGGATTCTTTTTGACGTGTCATTTGGGTGTCGAATCCCCTCCCAATCCCATGATAGTCTCTTTGGTGGTGATGCTATAGGGAGTATACTTGTTCCCAATGCAGTTCCCTTTTGTCGTTCCGTGGCGAAATTTTACCTTGAACCTCACACCCACGAGTCAGAATTCGCAGTTGAATACTTACCGGTTTGATCAAGATGTCCGTCCCGAATTGCCTCAGGTATCTCGTGGGCTTCCTACTCATCGTACTACGTCATCAAACCAGCTCTCTTGCGTCGTCGACAAATACCAATTTTCAACAGGATACCTGCGTCTCAGTTCCTCAAGGAGCTGACAACCCTTCAAGGAGCTCTGTTGCAAGTCCTGCACCAGAGAAAACAGGAGGTCTAACAGGGGGTAAAAGAGGTCTGGCCTATAACGATGCGTCCCTCACGTACCTCTTCGCGAACCAGTCCTCCGTGAGCTGGGGTTATAACTGGGCTCCATTCGCCAACGGCTCCCTTCCCTCTAACCTTGAATTTATCCCGACGCTCTGGGGTCTCGGTGAAGACGCGACGTCTTCGTGGTTTACACAGGCCTCCTCCGCCATCAGCTATGGATCAAAACATCTCTTCTCCTTCAATGAACCCGATATCGCAACACAAGCAAATCTCAATGCATCCGAAGCGGCCGATGGGTTCATACAGTATATGAATCCTTTCCATGACCAAGCCGAGCTGGTCACTCCGTCAGTGACGAATGGACTCGGCGACTCGCTCGGTCTTGAGTGGTTATCATCATTCTTCGATGCCTGTGCAGGGAGGTGCTTGGTCGATGCCGTCAACATCCACTGGTACGGCTCGGCGGTCGACACGTCGGATTTCCAGGCGTTCGTGTCTAATGCCTCGGCACTGGCAACAGAAAACGGCGTAGGAACTCTCTGGATTACAGAGTTACGCGGTAACGGAGGTATTGACCAGCAATTGCAGTTTTTGGAAACGGTCTTGCCGTGGCTCGACGGCAACGACGACGTGTCCGGCTATGCCTGGTTCATGTGTGCCGCGGGGGACGGTAACTTGGTGAGCAGTAGTGGCGTTGTCTCTGCTTTGGGCCAACTGTACGGATGATGGCTGAACTCTCGGGCACGAGAAGCCCCGAATTACGACAGCAGCTGTCGTTGTCTCACTCGGGCTGAAACGGCAGGTCGGGAAGGACCAATGAAGCTCATGCCTCGAGTCCTGTTGCCACGAGGAGAGCTCTAGAACTATTCTAGGACGAATTTATTCCTATGCGGCGGAAGAAGAGAACAAGGATCGCTGTCAAATCATCATCACTCAGAAAATTGTCGAGGAGCGTCGGGGCTCCACGTGGATCAAGTGTCACTGTACGAGCAGTGCGCCATCTGAAAGCTAGCTCTAGCTGATGTAAATAAGTAGACTGTGATAGATCTCGGATGAGAAGATTTGATTGAACAATACCAGAATTCATCTCCTTGCGAAAGGAAACAGATGATGGTTGGACTGAGTGGACCTCGGCTGACATGCCGCCGGAATGTTGTTTTTGCCGCAGTCTCGCGTGAAGCTTGAAGGGACTCCTTTTCTCCATCCCTCGACAGCCTCAACTTCATTGTCCCTTTATCATCCTCCTTGTGGCCTTCTAGAACAACCCCGAATTCCACTACTCCCTTCCAGCCGCGTCTCACGCCAATCAGAGACTGTCTTTATCCTGTTGGTGGAGATGCCGTACCAGGTTCCTGTGAAGACTGCACCGGTTCACAACCTTCTCCGATCCGTCCCTCCTCGAGCGCGATACCTCCACGAGTACCGATGATGTTCTACCGAGCCCGACGACGCTTCTTGGCCGGCTCCTCTACCCTCGTTTCTCCCTCATCCTCCTTCTCCTCGCGCTCTTTTCGCTTCCTATGATCCGGAGTACCAAAATCATTGTTGAGGCCTTGCATATCCATTAGATCGTGGACTGCGTATGGAGATCCACTTATGTGCTGCGGATCCGCTTGCCCTTCTTGAAGGAGAACGGATAATGTGTCCTTGGTTTCAAATTCGACCCTTTTACGAAAGGTTCCTTGGTGGTCGATGAACGACCGATCGCCGACCGACCCAGGAAGCCCATGGCCGTTCACGATAAATCTCGCCGCCCGTTCAGACAACTGTTCCAGCAGCACCTCGAGCTCGGGACTATTTCGAGGCAAACGACAGAAGATATGGCCCGATCCAGAATACTTCCCCTTAATCTTCTTCGGCTTTGACTCGAGTTCGAAGTAGAAACGCGTCGCAACGAGGCAACGCGCGACGACATCGACATCCTCCGACCGACAGAACTGTTCCCGAGCCTTTGTTGCCAGCTCGTGCATCCTGCCTGTATCATCCAAGTCGACCTCTCTGTCCAGTTCAACGTCGAATCGGAAGTACCGCCCATCTAACTCTGCCCGTCGTCCATTCTTAAACGCTTGGGCGATTTTTTGGCCGTTGATTAATTCCATGAAGGCTCTGTACGATCGTGGCAGAAAGCCCTCTCTCCAGATCGCACGCAGTCTGCTGGGGTGCGACGTTGGTACGTGTGATCCTGAGGACCCGGTGCCGAGGGAGACGACCACATTGGGCCTTCGGATCGGTGGCCACACCACAGGGATTTCCCACAGAGGGAGGTCGACGGGATTGTTCCTCCACAGAGCTCCGTCTTGGAAGGTTCCTACCCCCGGGATGCGCTTTGCTGGAAAGTACCTTGTGGCCGTGTGAGCTACCGAAAACTTTGAGAGGGTTGGACGGCAACATACCACGGTGCCGCAGATCCGCTCATTGCTCTTGCATGCGATTTCAGTCGTCTTTCCATACTCAACGAGGCGTGACAGAAGGAAATAGAAAATGGTCACTTACATCTCCCACAGACGAATCCTTTTCCGCCCATCTTGCGACCGGACAATGCGATAACCTGTTCATCCGTCAGAGATCGCTCTCACGTTGCCAGTTCGGGGATCAAAGTACCACAGTCCTGCGGCCTGGACCCTGTCCCGTTATAGTTGGTGAAGAGGCAAGAGTCTGTTTCCAGAACCGTGGTCACCGGTATTCCCACTTTCGCGCCGATAGCGGTTGCATGCGAGTAATCCAAGATGCCCATCTCGCTGCCGAAAACTTCCTTCAGTGCACCTTCCAGATGATGAGCTGGGTACAGACCGTCGGCCAAGTACGACACAAGAAATTGGACGATATGCGACAGGACCGGAATGCGAGACATGACGGGTACGTGAGAAATCCAGCGCGGTCTGAATGCCCTTTTCGCCAAAGATTCGAAAAGATTCGCACAATCGTCCACCGTCCATCCACTGATGAACAATGCGAGGACGATAAGGCCGCCTGATGAGCGTCAGCGACGGCCCGTGTAACGGATGGCGTCCACCTACCGGAACTGGTGCCGAATGCAATCTCGAAATGATCCTGAACTGGGATCGGTAGACCCAACCTGTCCTGCAGGGTTTGCAAGAACAGCAGTGGCACGACTCCCTTGATACCACCCCCGTCGATGGTCAATACATTGACCCCGGCGGTATCAGGCTTTAATTTTACCGTCACCTCTCGAAGTGCCATGTCACAGAGAAAACAGCGCCGAACGCCGAACGTCCACCGATCATTCTCATCTTCCTGTCCGAATACTCGCACGCAGTTTTCACAGACCGCATGGCCGCAGGGCCAATTGTTCTCTGGCGTGCGACGCAAGCAGGCGAAACAGAGGTCGTCGCTTCGCACCCGCTTCCAGCGAAGCTTAAACCTCTTGAGGTTGTTGTAATGGATCGTCTTGGACGGCGTACCGGCGCCGCGTATAAAGTCCTCGAAATATTTTTGCAGCTGCTCCGAGATGGCTTGGACGAAACCCGACGGAAGAAGCAAGTTTATGGAGCCGTCGTACACAAGCACACCGCTCCTGCCCGCTCGATAGCAGGCGTCTTTATACAGGGTCTGAAACACATCTCCAGGGTTAAACGCCACGCGGCCGTCAGATTAAGCCTGCCACGTGCTGAAAAGAGCTTGGACTTACCATGCATACCGGGAGGGTAATGATCCAGCAGGAGGCTCGACGCAATTATTGGCACCGCGAAGTCCATCAGCTCTTGAGGCGATTTGATGTGCTTCAGGAAGTTAGACAGATGTGTGCCCAAGTCCGGCGCGACAGGATTTGGCAAGCGCGACGCTCTCACGAAATCGAATGGCTCCCTGGTGGTTCTGCCAAAGTGGTCACTCGCATATTTGAAGAATGCCGCCAGGTGCCTCCCAGAGAAAAGCGTCCTTGCTTCGACCTTGAGCCTTCGACCTTGATTCAGCACCCGGATCAAGTATTCCGCCAGACGCCGGTAGCAGTGCCCTCCCTGGGGTACGGTTACCACTTCGAGAGCTGACACCATCTCCAGGGGGTTTTTGGTGGTCTCCTTTCTCAGTTCGCCCAGGAGGACATCCCCGGCCTCCTTGTCCCTTTCGGCGCCAGGGTCTGTGGCTTCCATCACCACGACCATCCGTGGATACGTTGTCTTCGGTAGTGTCGTGGGCTTGCCATTCTCGAGCCACGACGCGAGTCGACGTACCACGGGGCCAAATCCGCCGATGTCGGTGGAAAAGAAGCAAAAGACGTCGGCAAAAGCACCCAAGAGACGGGAATAGAGATGATCGGCGGCATCTTCTAAAGCTAGATCCTGGACGCCTCCCCGGATGCGAGGAAGCGGCAACTGTCTTGTCTCGTGGCATTGGGCCGAGGACCTTTTTTTCAGGCCCCGGTACGGAAGGTCACCATCCGCTAAAAGCACGGGCACGTCCTGGAACACATCGGGATTTCCTAGTTGGAGATGCACTGCGCCGCCTCGTTTCCCTCTGCCTGCCGACTTCTGCCTGTTCTCGTCTACACCGAGCGATCGAAGGGCCGACGATTTGGCGGTATGACCGATGAAGACCAACAGGCTGGGCTGCTGAAGGTCAGGACTGGGAGTGTCGTTGACAAGCGTTTGAAGCCGATCCGAGATGCACAAGACGACTTCGTTTCGTTCGATGCGGAGGGTGAGCCAATCGCTGTGATGACAGCGTGCCATCATGAAAGCCCAAATGCTACTGCGAGTCACAGTATCGAGGATGTGAGGTGCACAAGACGGGATGCTTTTAAGACATCACGAGTAATCGTCATCCTGTGAGAAGAGCTCAATCCAGATCCTTGAGCAGCGAGCGAGGGAAGGAACGAGACAAATGGTAGAGACTCGAACGGGCTCCAAGCGCGGCCCTTAGGGAACCAATTTTGATCTGGCATGAATCTGGTTTACGTTTTGGGCTCCTGACAAGATCCCTCTAGGGTGATTAACGTTTCTCACCGTCTATTTCTTCTTGGGATCCAGGCTGAATCGTCTCTCCTTGAGAAACTGCGCAGGTGGAATACGGTGGAGAGTGGTCGTCATGGTCATGACAGGAATTTCGAAGGGCAGGACAGACAAATCCTCCATCAGCAGGATGCCTTCCAGTGACCAACCTCATCATATGAATCGGCAACCTGTCGAGCTTGAAGATCCGAGATCTACCCCCAATCTGAAGAGATACTCCGAGCCACCCGCGTTCAGGCACAGATGTGCCCTTTGCCGCAAGCTTCGGTCTTCAGCTTACCAGAGAAATCATCCCATCGCCCCGGGAGAAGAACCGATCCCGGGGGTCTGTTCACGGCCAGGATGCAGCGCCCAGAAACGAGCATGGTCTCCAACGAAGAAGCCTCCACTGGTGATGGTCCTGGAATTGCACTGTTACGTCTACGAGAACCATCTCCCCGATCACTCCACAGGACCACCTCTCACGGTCGAGCTCCCTGCGGCAGAGCAGGCCCGGCGAGAGGAGCTCCTCCGTGGTGATTATGGAGTGTTGACCCGGACGCCAACGTACCCAAACACGTTTGAAGGGCAGCAACAAGCTCCATGGGTCAATCGCATGACTAAACCGACTTTTATACCTCGCTAAACTAGGAGATTTTGTCATGGATCAACATCGCGTCTGTGTCCACATCATCGCGGATACTGTACCAGGCATCACGGAATGCTTCTCGCATGATGTTCTACCTTGGAGGATGACTCCATCTGAAGATCATGTTCACTGATGGAATTGGCAGTGGAACCGCCGGCCGGTTATCTTTGGTGGAATGTATTGCAGGGTTGGCACCGGATTATGTTTGATGAGATTCATATATTGTTCACATCTATACCAGACAATTCTAGTCACACCATTAGGAACTCATGGGACGGCTAGGTCCTTCTGCGATTTCGTTCCCGTGGCTGAGATCATGCTGCCAGGACACCAGGTCCATTGACCACTGCCAAGCGTAAAATATGGGCCACCTTCTAGCTCCTTAGGTTCAGGCGGCGACGACCATGAAAAGAATACTCGCTGGGTATCTTGGACTGTGATCACTTTCACAAACTGCGGCACGGCACTGTTCGTAGTCGACCAAGGTTTGGCCGAGTTTTCCACGCGCCCTTTTCGGCTGACCATTGCCCGATGCAAGGTGGCGTGACTGGATGTGACCAGAACTGCAGTCGAATGGCAGCGATGAGCGGCGTTCCGTGGCAGTGCAACAATCTAGCGCGAGCTAAACCCTCAAACGTTGAGCATGCGTTGGAGTATTCGTGCGCACAACTATCTCCTGGTCCTTTTGGAGCCCCAAAAGGTAGTCGGGGCCAGAAGTTGAAGGAGGGTGGGGGAATTAAGCATTGTGGCGTTGCCCTCAAAGCTTAGTTATCCACTGGGTCCCTTGGATTGGTGTGGTGTCTTCAGTGAACCCTGGTCGATTTTTCAAATGAAAGTCGCAATCAGCAGCACAACTAACCGGACCTGGTCACCCAGAGCGAACAGAATGGAGGCTCTTCGCGGTGTTTTTACCATTTCTTGCAACTCGGGTCGACCGGGTCATGTCGATCAATGATCCCCTGACGTTGTTAGCCGCCATCTGTCGCCAGCCCCATCAGTCCACGACTTGGCCCTCAACCCATTTCGACTCCGGCCGATTGCTGGACGACAGCTCTGTATCCAAAGTGCAGATGGCGTTAAAGCAAACTATCAGTACCCTGTCAGTATAACCAAATATAGATTGCGGGTCTATTCTCTGGGCGGCAGATCAATGATGGCTCAGAATGCGGGACTCCTCAGGACAATGGCAAGATCGTAGAGATTTCCAGGAATAACGCCAGTCATCTTGATGTCTATGGGACTACGTTTAGATTCAGCTCCTCCGGGAGCCCAGACTCCACGAGATTCAACTTGTTCTGCTTTGTGTTGAAGGGGAATCTTTTGTCCCTCGGGCTGGGAGTTCCAAAGGATGGTGGGTCCGGCAACGAAGTGTTGTGGAGGGAAACTTTCATTCCTCTCCCCTTTGCTGAAGCTCTGTTCTGGTTGTGGCCCTGCGCGTTTTGGCTACGCCTCGATCTCGCTCTTGGCCTTGGCTTTGCTCCAGCATTTCCCTTCCCTCCAACGTGCTCAAAATCCTTCAGGGATAGTATCTCGGCTTGCGGATTGGTTGACTTCTGAACGAGATTTAGTGCCTGTCGTCCACGGTAGATCAGGTCAATGGGCTCCTTACAAGATCTTCGATGCTACATGGCAACGATCCTCCATTGGGCGTCTGAAAAAAAGTCACTTGCCCGCTGTCGGGATTACGAAGACATGCCGTGAACTCAAACCCGCATAGCTGCCAGAGTTCAAATGTTTTGTTAAGCCAGCCTCGCTTTCTCTTTCGTCGCTGTGTCGTTCTCTCCTTTCTGGTTTGTTCTGCCTTTTGCTTTGCCATCTTTTTTTAGGGTCGTCCATGACTGGTTGGAAGCGTGCATGACGATGGCCATTTTATATTTCGCAGTACGGCAGCAGACGAGGAGCCCGTTGTGGCTCCTTCCCGTCACGGTCGCCCTCGAGGCCATTCTATTCATAGACGCTGCCTTTTGAGGATCCTGTTCGGGACTCCTCCCTATAAAGGTTGCGGTAGACAATGTCCGCCCTCCCAATACTGTACTCATTCTCCCAATGACCTGTCTAACGATGCTACTACGCACTGCCACCCAGCTTTCTATCTTTGTCGCTCTTGCCATCCCCCTGGGGAGGGCCTCTGCAGACACATTTCAAAATGACATCGGGACCATCACACCAACGGCCAGTATGTCGAGGAACTTTGTCTGGACGAACACTTCCAGCGCACCACCAGAGGCCACCGTTGAGATTCAGTTTGACGGCCTGGTCGGCTCCGGCGTCATAAACTTGACCAGCAACTATGGTTTTACAGTCGTCAATCTGACCGCCGCCAGCACCTCTGCCACCTCTTGCACTGCTTCAAATCCATTCGCAGCCAATGTCACTTCTGGAGCGACTGTTCCTCCCTCTCACACTGACGGCATCCCCGTCACCAATCCCCCTTCGACGAGTGCGACTGTGGTTCCGTCTAGCGGACCTTTTACGTCGCCGTCGTTACCATCTACCACGGGTGACTCGCCTCTTGGCCCAAGCCAGAGCACGAGCATAAGCACTTCTGCCACTACCACGTCGGCCTTCATCGGCCTCTTCACCGGCGTTGGAACGCGATCGAGAGTACCCCTGGCGGCCATGCTGACATGGATTCTCGTGGCCCTAATCCCGACTTTTGTATGTTGGAGCGACGACTTTTGACGGCAGAAGTATCGACGACGAACTCTCCTCTGCACTCCCTTCGTTGCCGGCAACTGGAAGGGGTCTTAGATAGTTTAGGTAGCCTATCCTAGAATATATACCTTTCGATACGCAAATGGTGTGGCATCTCACAAAGCACAAGTGGAACGTTTGGTATTCATAGATCTCCTCGATGTTAATCTTCATGCATGAGATATATATGAGTACGGTCTGTTTCCCTCTAATTGACCCAGTCATGTAACCGAGCCGCATCAAAATTGGATGCTCTTCAAGCCCTCTCCTTCGTCGGCTCGTGGAGTATTTCCCAAAGGTTCAGGTGATGGACTTTGGGATCTCCAAAAATTGGGACCGTCCGCGATCACCTCTTGCGGACCGATCTCGTCAGCGTGAGAGGCCACCCCTTCAATCGCACTGATGTATGTTGGAGGACCAGCTGTTACTTCGCCGGCATCGTCGTTCTTCTTCCCGCTTTCCCTCCAACGGAACCATTGAGGTAGACGGATGATGATGCCACAGCCGCACAACATCGTGCTGCCGTTCAATGATTTTGTATTTGCCGACAAGAAGGGGTTTGTCGAAGTGTGATGCTGTCTGTGTACGACAACAAAATGGCGGAGGACAATGCGGACGGAAAGCTGGAGTGCTGTTACTCCTGATACGGCGGCAATGTCAAAAGATTGTGTACGAAGATAGAATTGGTGCCAGAGAGTCACTTGAACAATTCGACCTCCGATATATATAGATCGTGTGAATTACCATCAGGGAGCCGAATCGAGCTCCAGGATCCTCTTCAGGTATCTATCGCCAGATTGCCTACTTTAGCCGTGGAACATAAAGACGAGCAGCTTACCTATCTGTCCTTTAACGATTGATCATATAGCATTCTCGGCCAAGAGCATTTCACCAAATCTTCTTGAATCATCTGCTTCCTACTCCAACAAACCAACATGGACAAAGAACCGCCGGACTCGCCCAGCATTTCTAACTACGACGACGACCTGTCTATGGAGGCATTGCTCAGAAGAATAGACGACTTCCAGAGGAGGGAGGAATTAATCACGATCGAGAGGTTGGAGAAAGAAATATCGACGTTACGATGTCAGATTTCATGCCACCAGAGAAACTTGCGCGTCACCTTGGATTTGCTGCAAGAGGCATTTGATGCAGCCGTCCTCATCAAGACGGCTCTCCAGGCATGTGATGAGGAGGAGGAAATGGCGAATGCAGATTGGCTGGCTTTCTGGGGAATCCATATTGAGACGCGGTCCGCTCTAGAGTATCGACCGATGGAGTGGCCTCAGGAATGGATCTAGCTACGATAGAGCGTCGAAACTAGCTTCAGAGGTTCCCGATGCACAGAGACCAGCGAGAAGTGTCAGCTTCAAATGTACCCTCTGCCTTCCAAAATCCAGCGCGCTGCACACGATCAGATCTTGGTTCAATGACGATATGATTTCCACAGTCTAAGCTTAAATAATTCATTAACACTTTTGGGCTTCTACACTTTCTACTTTTTAAACGACATTCTCAAAATGCTTTGAAGTTGGTGAATTTATTGGCCTGCCGATCCTACAAAATGCGCTGAGACGGTAACTCCTTAAACGTACCCGAATGCAAAACTACCATGCAAATATGGATACACGCCTGCGCCATTCTCAAGTGTCCTACGTTTCGACTGCGGAGCCCTCAGATCTGGCCTGTCCCTCGTGATTAGAATTTCGATCCCTGATCTGACTCTCCACCGTTCTCTTAAAGATCAAAGACCACTGTCTATGATGTTCAATATATTTCTTCATAGTGTCCATAGAAGCCTTCACCCTGTTCTCATGGTCAGTTACAAAGTATCGGGTTCATCGGAAAGATTGTACCAATCTTGAAACTCCGAGAAATGAATTTCCAGTTGATTGCATTGCGTCTGCAGAGATTCGATGTGATCGCTCCGGGTGTGGAGGGAGGTCACTCCCTGCTTGATCTCCTCCAACGTGGCTGCAAACTCGGCAGGCATCTTTAGTGAACTGATATCTGGTTCTGGAGCCGATTGTGTAAACGTAGTATCGGCGCACATGTGCGGACAGATGCCCGTATTGTCCTGTTGAAATAGGAAAGCGATGGATGATTGTTAGGGTAGGTAGTTAGTGGTGTCCTGGACATATCTGTTGGTGATAGACTGTTTGTAGAAGAGAAGTTGAAGCGCGTCTTCGCACGACATTCCGCCGGTGGCGTTTTAGGTATTTTACTGAAAGGCCATCAAAGTATAGTACAAAGGTGGGGTTAACTGCGTATGTCACTCCCTTAAATGTCATTTCCTCATGCAAATTCACCCAACCAACACCCAGTGGGAAATATACCTTTTAAGGTATACTTTACTATACCCAGCCCATCGCGAACCGTGGGCGGCGATTGCCCTTCGACCTCCAAATGATAAACGGCGGCGCTTGTCGTGGGGCCGGAACGGTCCCTCCAGAAGATGGTGCAAACTCCCTTCGTACCGAAGGGTCCAAGCCGGGCTCCTGCAATAGAGATTTCGCAGCAGACAGTGCGACGGCAGGGATCTCCGAGCCCGTTTAGATCCCCACCAGCTCGGTAGAGAGTCCTGAGGGGCAGATCATTTCCATCCCTGCGCTCACAGCCCCAAGCCTGGCTCAATGCACCTAACAACAGACCTGCCCACGGCCGAGCGACTCTCGTTGCGCAAGGAGATTGTCATTCTGCGGTTGAAGTTGACCGCAGGCCACAACAACATGGTGTCTCCACTCCTAGCTATTTATGAACCGAGAAGGGCGACGCTTCTATTTCAAGATTTAGGACAGTGTGCGCTCATTGTGAACTAATTTTAGCCCTTTGTCGCTGCCGTCGCCGTTGTCGCCGCCGATATTGCCGTTGGATGAAGAGGAACTTGGTATTTTCTACTTTAAAAGGAGCCGCGTTAGACGGTAAAGTCTAACGAATAACGGCCGCTCAAAACGTTCGATAAAAAATATGACTTCTCAAACAAGCGAAAGGGATAGCGCAGGACTAGACGCCGTCAGAGTACGTGTTACCCGGTATCTTCCATTCGAACTCTTATTGATCTTGTAGGTCACTCCTAGCACTGCTGGAGGGCGGCTCATGCCGACTGGTCCTGTCCCGGTGGATGTCAATAACCTGAATGCTACTTGGACACGTCTCCAGTTCGTCAACCAGCAGTATGCCGGGTTTCAAAGAGAGTCATGCGATATCCAGCGCACTCTGTGGACCAACATCCACACGTTGCTGGGCCAGAAGATCGCTTTGGAGAAGTCGTGGCGGGATATCAATACGGCATACAACTCCAAGGCCGACGAGCTGACCGAAATGGCCCAAAACAGCGTCGTTTTGCAGGAAGAGCTCTAAATCGCCCAAGATGAGATCGAGTCTGCTCGGTGCCAGGCCGAAGAGTCTAAAGGCCGGAACCGGCATCTGGCCGAGCAGCAGAGGTTCTTGCAACATGACGTGGATCAGGCCCGTCAGAGGATCCACGCCTTGGAAAATGGTGTTGCCGTGCACGGAAGTACGACCGGCGCTGCGGACCATGCGAAGGGCGCGGCGATTCACGAACTGGACTCGAGCGAAAACGGAATGACCACTGTGAGGACACTAGAGCTTCAGGCCCGGATAAAGGAAATGGAACAAGACTACGAACATATGGTGGGACGCTACAAGGACGAACTATCCGGCCTCGAAGCACGTCTGTCGGTGGCAGATCAGAAATTGAAGCAGTTTGAACAGACCACCGACAGAACCCGGACGATGGATTTAGTCATTTCACCTGCCGTCAAAAGGGAACCACTGTCTTCAGGCATCGATGAAAACGTCAAAATGGAAGATAACGAGATCACTGGGCGAGGACGTCGAAGGCAGCCAAAGAGAGCTCGAAAGGGGCGGAAGCTAGAGCCCCAAAATCCAGACATGAGGATGGTATGCCACTGAATGGCCTGGGAGAAGAGAGAAGGGAGAATTGGGGGATCTGATTTGTTTACGCTCTTTTGTTACTAATACGCATCGTCTTTAGTTCCCTTTTCGTGTTCAGAGCAAAGACCGATTCATACGGTCTTTGGCAGAAAGTTAATGGTATCGGTTTAACCTGGCTGCCTATGAGAGCTTCAGGACATTGTAAGGTGGCGGACCATCATCATTCCGGCAGCGGTCCCCTTGACAGATTTAGCGCAGGGTTCGGTAGAATCTTTCATGCTTTCACTTTGGTGCCTATCAACACTAGGACAACCTCCTTCGACTCGTCTAGAGGGAGCCCGTCCTGGTCCCCTTTCTTGCCAATCTATTTCCGAACCCAAAGCTTAGCGTGGCTGACGATCCGTTAAAAAAAGAAAAAGGCAAAACACCAATAGCTCCCAATTCCAGGCTTTAGTAGAGTATATCTACAAGGACCGTCGCCGAAAGCCATCATTATCACAACAAGTCGAGTCCTCGAAAGGGCAACATAACCTCCATGCCATCATGAACATGCCACGTCCACGCAATATCCACAGCCCGTCCCAACCGAATCAACCTCCGGTGCCGAGTCCGATGGATGCATTGATCGACAACAACCAAGGCTCATCCGTGGCGCTCGAAGCATCTAGGTCTCGACTGGAGGCCTCCAAACGCGCCATACGCCCTACTCCATTGCAAAGAATTGAGCAACTCACCGGGGAGAAGACAGCACTGCAAAAAGAGCTTGCCAAATGTCAGAGACAGGAGAGCGCCAATCGAGCATTTAAAGAAGAGATGAGGATGGTTTTAGACCGACTCCAGCAGGCGGTATTTGAGTGGAGAAGAGCCCAGAGGGAAATTGATGCCGATTTCAACGTGAGCTTGCAGCAAGGCGTGGACACCGCTAGCATTAAGGTTAGCATCCAGAGTCGTGACGTATGACCTCGAATGGCGGACGCCACTCGCTACGAAATTACAATCTTCGTGCAGAGTAGCTACAGTATTATGGCCTCAGAAGGTTCCTCAATTGATTACCGACATACGCCCTTCTATCCCTTTGAATTCAGTGGTCTTATTCCGACGTGCGGCATTCCCAAGTTACATCTGTTTCAGACTCCCCTCTCACTGCCCTGCAGTATAACACACTTCGTCACTTCTCACAGCATGACACGGTATAGTACAAAGTGGATGCGCGAAACTTTGAAATTTCGGAGGGTCGAAGATGTCATCGCCATCCTGAGGCCTAAAGGCACACCGTAGCAATCAGTAGAACTGATGGAGACCCTAAGGCAACCTATCTCAGCGGCAAATACTGCAGGAAAATGGAGAAAGACATCGTGGTTGTTCCGCGGCCTCGGGGGTGTAGAGGGGTCCTTCAATCCAGAGTCTGATCGTTCTATTGGCGTGGAAAGTGTTGAGTCGCCGAATCGGGGAAAGACTAGGTTGGAAGTAAGAAGATGGTGGCTTTTAGATTTGGGTAGTCTCCTAACTTGTTCTTTACACCTCCCGTGAAATATTCAGCATTGATTCTCCTATCACCTCCTCACCCGTTCGTCCTTGGTAAACGCCGTCCCACGTCGCCACACGCAGCGAAGCTCAGGAGGTAGAAGAATATCCCCGTGCGAATCGCGAGAATCGCAACGTCGATGACATAGCAGAGGGCTCGACATGCGGCATGTGCAAAGAAAAGGATCACGAGGAATTGGCTGAATCTCATGTCCGGTGCTCAACACAGGCTTTCTCTCGAACCTCTCTACTACGGAAGAGCTGCCACCGCAGATGTGAGGTGACGAAATAAGACACGAGTTTGGATGGACCATCGAGGGAACCTCGACACCTGCTACGGCTGTGTGGTCGCGATTGCATCGTCCCTCCCAACTAAGCGGCCCAATTCGGACCTCAGGCATCGAATGTCATGGCGCGTCGGAGCCCATTTCGGCTCCTAAACTCGAGAGTGGCGGGCAACAAGGGCACCCAAACAGTGTGCCAATAGGTAATGGCCGAGACGCGCAAGAGAAGTCCAATTCGAACGCTTCCCAAGCTGCGTCCTATATATGATCGCTGTCCACGGACTCTCACTTCTAACTGCCTTTCTAGATGTTGGTCCGTCTAGAGCCTCAATATCGGCGTCCGAGTGGTGTACGTTGTACACGGAAAACCAGTCTAAATTCTTTTTCTCTCAGAGATATTTACGTTGCACATCTCGGCCCTGGGCCAAGTTTGTAGCTGAACATGGCGACAGTGAGCGACACTCCCTCCGAATCTGTTGCTGGTGAGAAGAATAATGCGACGCGACAAGCCCATGGCCTGGCAACGCCAGAACAGACCCCAGAACCTGACACTGCCCGTCTGAAGGAAGACGAGAAGAGGCGTCAGGCTGCAAATCAAGCCACCACGGACCAAGGACAAGGGGCAAGTACTGGGAGCCCGCCGTCTTCTGGAGAAGGGGCAGGTGGTGCCACGGAAGGGAACAATGGTGCGACCCAGGAGCAGATTGATGCCGTGGAGAGAGTGATGAAATGCTTGCAGACGGATTACCAACACATCCTCGGTATCCTAGACAAGAACCTAAGTACAGAGGACGTGATGGCGGCCTTCAAGAAGCTTGGGTGCTTAACGCATGAAAAATATAACAAGGTGAATCATGCCGCGGAGGCATTTCACAGTCAGTATGACCTCTTGAATTTTCCCCCGACGTTGGAAAACTTCAAACTGACATGGCACGCCTCCCCGGGACGCAGGAGTCAACGATGCGGCAAAGCACCTCGGAATCAACGAAGCTGCTATAGCGACGATGAGAGATTGGGATGGCGTAGAGGACAATCTCACCCTGCCAGCAAATGACACAAGCCACGTGAGCTCCGGTGAGGCGCCATCGAACGGACAAGACACGGACATGGGAGGCTCCGATCAGCCCACGATCCCACAAATGACCGATGCTCACCGTCATGCGTTCGATGTCTCTTGGGGGCTGCTGCAAGTCCTCTCGGACAACCCCGATGACGAGAAAGTTATCAACGGCCTGCAAGAGGTGAACCGAAAGATATTGGAAATCAACGCGGCGAATGGCTTCCCCAACTCAGAACGATTCGTGATCGATTTCAAGGTCTATTAAGGGGTGTTCAAGAAGGCACTTCCTCTCCTCGAGCAATGGAAGCAAACCTCCGATGAAAAAGCTCAGGCGGAGCTTGAGACGATGAACCAGTGGCTCGAAAAATTCATCAAGGAGCGCGGTTACCCTGCAGGTTGGAAAATCAACATACCAGAGGCGCCGACGCAGTCCATCCCAAAGCCGCCCGTGCAGTCAACTGCCTCAACAGCAACCCGAACTCGGTCGGAGAGGTTGCCGAAACCCCTAGCCTTCAACGAAAAGGATGGATATATCCTCCAAGAAGGGATAAAGAAAGAATTGTACGGTTATGTGAAGGCGGGGTACGGACATCGAGTCCTACTTCGACAGGATAGACAAAACGGGTACGACATCTTCGAGTTCGTCAGGGCGAGCAAATTCGGAAAAAACTTTGTCGAGAGGAACCAGAACGTGTTGAGCGGGACAGAGATCAAGGCCGGAACCAAAGCCTCATTACGGGGAATAAGCTGGAAGCAGGTGTCCATTTTTGGGGTCGCTCCCGTCAGAACCGACTTCGACGACGAGGCGATGTTAATGGCTTGGGTGGCATTTCCTCAGAGCGAACCAACCTGGTACTGGCGCTCATATCTGGGGGAAGAATTTGGAATCGACGCGGTGGACGAAAAGTTGAACACCTTTAGGAGGAAGGCAGGGCAGCTCCCTCGAGCCGTCATAGATGAGGACGAAGCGGAAGAAAGTGACGATGATGAGGAAGGAGAAGACAAAGCAACCAGATTGCGATATCTAAGAGAGGAAATGAAAAGGTTGGAACAGGGAACTGCGAGAAGCAGACGTTCGTCGAGCGCGAAAAGGTCAAAACCGCGGCGACGAGCCCGATAGGGAGGCGCGGAGGGACGAAAGCTGGGACGAACCTGAATAATCGGTGAAAATGGACCACCTTCATCGAAATTTCGACGGGTGACGACCTCCATTCTCTGGGCCACTCGGAGAGTGGGTGACGGGTTGTTAGACTGACCGTCGGTGCGCCAGTCGCTCTTTTCACCGCCGACACTGCTTCCAGACAACCCATCTCCTGGTTGTCTGTTTTTCAGCTTGCTTGTCAGTGCCCGGCTGGCACCGACTACCAACAGAGGGGCCGACGACAATAGGCTCTGATTCGCAAGCATACGCTCTTTTGGTTTATTGGTTGAATCCGCTCTCTTGATGAGTCCCTTTGTCAAAGGCAGCTGATATTTGTCATTCCTTCGCCTTCATAGACTTCCAATAGATACAGGTAGTGATGAATATATTCCGTTCGCTTCAAGTCGTCCGCACGTACATCAGAGGTGAAGGTGGTCGTGATAGGGCTTTTCGGGCGCGTCTGGTGCGCGAAACCGAGATCTCGGGGTAGGATCGTGATTGCCGGGGACAGAGGAGAAATCTTCGAGGGCGGAATCTTGAGGTTCAGCTTGAGTGACAGGCCCACAAACACTCGATGGACAACATGGTGAGCAGGTGTCAGAGCGCGCACTTGCTCTTAGCACGGGGGCTATGCGCTGGGGCCGCCACACCGTCAGATGGGCTCGTTAGACGCTTGGGCAACGAAAAAGGAATGGTGTCGACGGCGCAGGAATCCGCCGTAGTTGGCTGATGCGATGCATAACTCAACAGCGTCCTTCGTCAACCCTCCACGATCGACCGTGTCTGCTCTCGCGCTCAGTGTGGTATGGGACCAAAATGGGACTCTGATCATGCTATGAATAGCAGTCTCTGGAAGGGCTATTTCAGCATGAGACTCCACCAAGCGCCAGGGTTTGGAGCGGGGCCCATTATGGAAGCCTCCCCTTTGAATTATCAACTTCGTCGAAGTTGATAAAAGACGGTTAACTATTATACGCTTTTCGGGGGGGAATGAAGGCCCCAAGTTCTGAACTGCATTCTTTGTGTCTTTCTTCTGTTTACGAGCAGACGCCTCACCTTCGTTCTTCCCACCCGAGCCGAAACTGCGTATCTGCTGATTCACGAGGCGAACGAAGCCGCCTACACCCCGTGGACGCCTCGTTATCTCCTGACTCCTCGACCTTTTACGCTAGCTAACATCCTGAATTCTATGGCCCTAAAAATCCAAATCGGCACTCTGCCGCAGGCCAACCACCCTTCGTTAGATCTATCCTTTAGCCTCGATGATGTGAGTCCGCCTGTCGCCATGTTGTCCAATTACGCTGACCGTGGGTATCGTCAAGTTCCATTCATACCTTCTCCTGTGGGTGGAATCTAACCCTAGCCACCATGATACGATACTATCCGTGCTACAAAGTGTGCTCGCCCAAGATCGTGCTCCCAATGACGGCCACGAGCAACCGCGAAATTACGACGCGGATGAACATTCCAGCGCTAAACCTCATGGCCAATTCGCCCATGGACATCCCATCCCCCTAACGAGCGTGCCAACTCTGCCACCAAAAGATTCAGAGGTGGTGGAGTCGATAGTAGTTGATGGCTATTGTGGCCACGGTGAAGTGAAAGAATCTAAGACGGTGCTGAATGGGGCCCAGCGACTGTCGGATCAAGATCAACTCCCAGTGATTCTGAGCTGGGGACCACCGACAGATGTCACGGCAAAAAGCTCGGATTTCAAACGGCCAAGGGAAAAGACATTGCCGAAAACGGTGGGCTCCCGTCTCAAAGAGCCCAAGTCAAACCGAGTGGCGAGCCACGACGGCCTTCTGACTGCAGATATGCTGCAAACCATCGACCGCATAGGGGGGATCCAGGTGCTGGAAGGATTGAAAGACACCATCGCCGAGTTGACTGTTCGGGCGCAGCAGGATAAACAAAATTTCAACGAACAATGCAGTCAAAGCATTCCGAAGCATTTGACAGATCAACCCGAGTCGATACGGAAATTATGGCTCCTAAAAGAAGAACTTATCCTCACCGAGACGAATGAGCAGATATATCGACTTCGGAAAAGATTAACTCTGGCGGAGTTCTCTCATGCATACGACGCGTGTGCCTTGCGATATATGGATGTGAAGAGCAATCCTCAGCGCCCGCGGTCGAGACCGGGGCAACGGGCACCTAAGACGTCAACTGGTCGTGACGCTCGCAATTCGCAGCATAAACGAGCAGCCATGGATCATTTCGTGAACATTCTATTCCCCAGCGCGTTACCGAGCAGCAAGGCGAAGAGGGCGGCGCGGAAAGGAGGTATGGTGACTAGATACGCGGCCGCCAGGAAGATTCAGAACTGGAGGGCGACGGGACAGCCGTGGGCCAACATCATCACGCGCTTTGGTAAAGGAATGCTTCTGCTGATACCCGACGAAGTGTCGGACGCATAGTAAGTTCTCCCACACGAAGATGGCCCTTTCGAATCAGGCGTCCTATGCTAAAGCAAAATGAAACAGTTTGCGAACCATGTCAAAAGCCACTCTATCAGCTTTTCTGGATCGTGTAGAGTTACGAGTGGCAGGCCTGACAAATTGGTTGCAGACATTGACATCCTTGGTCGATTCTATCTGCATCAACCATGCTCTACCTCACCATTAGCTCTCGGAAGAATACCCTTCGTGGCTCATCGAATGCGAAAGGACGGATGCACAAGTCTGGAAGGCCGACCCAGACCTACCGTCCGCTTTTTGCGATGGAGACGCAGCGTCTTGGAGTCCTTTGAAGCAATCATGCGATGTTGACCAGCAGTATGCCGAATCTGGTTTTGTTGTCGACTCACCCATGGATGCGATGGAGCTGGGCCTATACACAGGCGAGTCATCTTCGCAATTCGCTCTGGCCCCCCACGAAACCGTTTGGGAGGCCCCTTACACCACCTTCCTGTCACATCTTGCTGGAGAGACAGATCGGTCGCCCGACCTCTGTTCCGCCTTCGTGTCCAGGCATGATGGCTTCCCACTACCTCCAAGTGAAGGGACAGACAGTTTGGGCGTGGACATCGACGCACTCCTGGCCATGTCTCCCATGGTGCCGTCGCTGGTCATAGATGCACCCAGCACTGATGCATCACATCAAGCATCCACATCGACGAATTGTTCATATGACCAGTATCACGACAGCGCCGCCATCTACACTGGCTCGGAACCCTGCAATGCCAGCTACGAGGACGAGTTTCTCAACTTGTCAGAGGATGGCGACTAGATCCCTTTTCATAAATTTCCTGTCCAAAGGTTGGACATTCCGGCATCAACGGAACCCGGTATCTTAATCTTAAGAGACGCGAATAGCTTTTTGTTTCACTGGGCGTCCCTCTCAAATTACCAACTCTTGGATATAGTTTCCCACCTTCGAAAACTCGGTTCCAAGCTTTTCTTATGAGCAGAATACATCCTTCAGTTCCTATTGAGACCCTTCGGGGGAACCACTCGGCTGCTAGACGCTGATTAGCTACCGACATCTCTGCAGCTTGCCGCCCGCTTCAATGCCTCCTGCGTGCCTGCATCGGCTCAGTCTGTGAATAAACACGAGTCCCCCTAGAGGCATACCACACCTCGAGTCGACCTGACAGGGCCTAAAATGGCTGTCGAATCTTAGGCAAGAGGTTCGGGGAAAACGAAAGCAAGCGGGATGTTGTTTCCTTTGCGTTCTCGCCGTCGCTGTCAAGGGTGGTCAGTAAACAATTGGAAGTTGGCAAACCTCGAAAGGGATCTAACCCCAGTCGGTGTCGAATCTACAGTACTGAAAGGTTCATAAGAGATTCTGCGAAGACAGGCACCTTTATATACTACATCAATGATGACGGACTGTGGGTGAGAATGTATATACAACGACCCTGCCAACTACTATTAGTATTCATTGATATTTGGTCTCAAAATGAAGTGCTTTTATATGAAGAAGGGTCGGTCGAATTTCCATCTAGGTCGAAACATTTGCTTCTTCTCAAGAGCAACTCTGAGGAGGTCAAATTAGGAGGCGTTCAGCCTGAACTTTTCTCACATTACCTCACGGTAGATTTTCTAGTCAATCAACCACTGCCAATGACTGTTTTACGGACTTGCGCGTGCATCGTACCAAAGGGAGCACCTGGACCATAAGTCGTACGGATGGGCAGGATCAAAATGCAGACGACACTCTGCCCCGAGAGACGGGCCGGGAACATTCTGTGAGTGAGTGGAGTACTTCGTACTTCGCCGTGACGTGACGGTCTTGGCTTAGTCACTCGCATATTTCAATTCGCTGAAAATATTAGCACCAATCAACAACGTTTTTCAGGACACGGCGAGGAACGGTCTTGACGAAGCATAAAGGAAGTCTCCTTGGCTTGCCGTCTTGCATCCTGTTCATTCAAAAATTCCAAAGTCAGTAACCAGTGAGACGGGTTTCGACTACTTCTTTGCGCACCTCAGAATGGCGAACTCTCCAGAAGACAAAGATATTGGGCTCGATCACAGTCCTTCCGAACCCCCACCAGTTGCCCTCAACGGCGATATCGAAACACAACAGAAGAGAGAACAGGTCAATCAGAAGCAATCGGTATATGCTGGCCTGGGCTGGTTAGACCGATTGCTCGTCATCTGGATCTTGTTAGCAATCATCGTGGGCATTCTGCTGGGCAATTTCGTTCACGGCATCGGCCCGGCTCTTCAGAAGGGCAAATTCGTTGACGTCTCGGTCCCCATTGGTAAGAGTTGAGACAAACCCGTCCCCCTTCTATATTCGAAGCTAATGAGAATGTCTACCGTGTAGCCGTGGGTCTGCTAGTGATGATGTATCCAATTCTATGCAAAGTCAGATATGAGACCTTGCATCGCATTTTTGCCCATCGGCAAATTTGGATCCAGCTCGGCTTCAGCATTTTGGTCAATTGGATTGTTGCACCTCTTGTCATGGTATTTTTCGCTCTGCGAACCCTTCCTCACTCAATTTACTGACGTCGGTGGAGCTTG